ATAAAACCATTGCCTTTTTATGAAAAAATATCTGACCTTCTAATGAATAATAAACTTGCTTTTAATTAACAATAACATTGCCTTCTTATGAGTAATAAACATGCCTTTTTTTATGAATAATCACCTTGCCCTTTTATATAAGGATTGAACACGACAGTTATCGGGTTCTGAGTTTTATCCATGTAATTAATCTCTGTATTTTTAAGTTGATCTAATCTGTTTTGCTTATTGTTTAATGTTTTTTTTTTGCCTATTGTCTGGAGATCCATCTAAAAAGTGATTTGTTTCGCTTTTGATAAATCCTCGGGCCTGTTTTTTTGCAAGGCTTCATGTCTCATTATTTTTGCTGAGAAGTCTGAAAATCGTTTCTTAATCAGTTGCTGAAATGGACAGTTTTCCGTAGCATTAGCTGGCAGGTATGGAAACGTACTTCTAAAACCTTTACAAACTACTGACCACCATTTTAGAAAGGGTATGGATCCCCATGTAACACTGCATCATGGCGATTGATGCCTTTGCAGCCATGCCAGCCTTCTTAACGGTCTCCTCTGAACTTGTTCAGAAGAGCAGCGGCCTGGGCTTGTGCTATGTGACTGATATCGTCAGCAAAACGAACTTGCAATTTTCATTTTCTGTTCGTTTTTCCAGATAACATGTCTGGACAAAATGTTGCTCGACTTATGGCTGCACAAAGTGATCTGTTCAAATGAGGAGGGTCTAGTGAATGTTCAGTCTCGATATCTGCCTGGCTTTGCAGACATGATTCACTGACATCTGCCAAAACACCCACCAGCATCAGTCGTGTTCTAAGCCTATTTACTAAGAGCTAAGAGAGGCTCTGTTTTTTACAGCTTGTCAGTTTCTGTGCACATTGACTCCCCTGATTCACTTTCTTCTCCCACCTTGAAGCTGAATAGCATTTTCCCTAAGACCTGCACTTGCCATTGTCACATCTCTTGCAAAGTTTGTTTTCTTGGTGGTACATCACAATGTGTTCGTCATCGGTCACATGTTCACAAACGACTTCTTTTGCTGGCACGAAAAGTGTTTGTTTGTTTGTTTGGTTTTGTTTGCTAACATTCCTGATGTACTGTCTGTCCGTCTCCGCAATGGCGGATCCAAAACACAATTTGTTAAGGGGGGGGAATCCCAAATGGTGCTGTACGTGGTGGTTGTCTTTGTTGGTGACGTCACTAAAAAAAAAAAGTTGGGTTGTTGTTATTGTTGTTGTTGTTGTTTTTGGAGGGGGAGGAGGCATGTGCTAATTGCTCCCCCCATCATCCCTAGGGCCTGCGGCACACCGTACGCCACCCCCCCCCCCGGCAGTATGGGTCCGCCAATGAATTTGACTAGTTATGTAGAGAGACCATTTTTTTTTCGCGAGAGGGGCACTGTTGCCTTTGATGCCAGCTCAGTGACCATTTAATCGCGTGAGGAGGAGCACTTTTATCTTTAAAGGCCAGTTTTTCATGTGAGGGGCACCATTTTAATGTTGTGAGCGGGGCACTAATACAATTGTGCTTTCGAGGGCAGGTTTACATCTCGAGAAGTTATTGCGAGAGGAACACTATTGTTATTGATGATAAATTTGCCATCTCGAGAGGGGCACAATTGTATTATTGCGAGAGTCGTATTTGTGCTTCCGAGGGGTAGTTTTCCATCTCAAGAAGGTGCCAAACTTGTTAATGCGAGAGGGCACTTGTGTTTCTGAAACACAAGAAGTTTGCCACTACTAGAGGAAACAATTTTATTTGTAGCGCGATTGGGTGCTTTCATGTGCGTGTTTAGGGGCAGTTTTGTTTTCATCTCAAGGGAGCACGTTTATATCCGCGAGAGGGGCACTTTTGTTGGCCTGGGATAATCTGGGGGGGGGGGGGGGGGAGTAAACCCCCACCCCCCAGTTCCGCCGTCCCTGCCTGCGGTTGCAACGGTGGTACTGTAAAGGCAAAATGTAATTTAAAACACATGCCCATGCAGCTTTGTGTGTGGAATGCAGTTATATGTACCAACAGGTCTACTTCTTTTTGTTTTGATGGGGGGGGGGGAATCAGCACATACCAAAACAATAATTAAATACACAACAGTTGAAAAACATGTTCCTGAAATTAAATGGACCGTTGAAAAATGCCAAAAGAGGAGAATTGCACCTTTAATTGTTTGCGATATGTTGATTTTTTTCCCGTTTTCCAAGCTTACACATAACTCGGCTAGTATTAGTCCAAGTGTTAAACAAGTTCAATTATGTCAGATACATGTACATGTTTATGCTGAATTGAAAGGCAAAAACAGAGAATAGTATATTTCTATTCACTGAAAATTCATTGCGGGTATGATTCATGCTGAATGCATTGGACTACTTATTTAAGAGATGTCCATGGCCGGCTCTGTTGCAAATCATCCATCCTGGCATCTGCTTTTGTTACCCAAATATAGCGTCAGATTTGCCTAGTCTAGGGCCTAGTCTTCCGAACACTCATATACTTATCAACCCGGTCTGATGATATGAATAGTCCTCCCATGGGTGCAACAGTGCAAAAAAAATCCCATAGCCACTAGTGCTAAATGCCCATACTTCATTTTTAAATACTCAGAACTCTCACAGGTATTTAAGCTGCACAGAAAAATGATGATCGACATGTCATCTTTCAATTTCTTTTCATTTTTTGGTGGGTTGACCATTGACTTTTCGAGAAATTCTCGCCCAAAGAAGACGACCCCTATCTCCCCCAAAGCGGAACAGTAGCCATCTTGAAAAACGATCTCTCCAAAACTTGCCAAAATAGCGCCACTTTCGAGCCCAATAGCATCCAAAATGCTCAGAATCGGAAGCCCCGAGAGGTATCTCTTCAATACCCCAATGTTATGGCTCTCAGAACTCTCTAATATAGAATATTTTCAGGGTATAACTTTTATTCATGAGCTCGGCGGATGGGTTTAGACCTATTTACAGGTGTGCACCCCCACGCCTTATAGTTTATCCTTGAATTCATCCTGTGCAGAATTCCACTGCACATTACTTCTGGTATTGTAAAATTGTTTCACCAGAGTATTCTCGGAAAAAACCTGGCTATCTTCGCTGAATTAGATCAACAGTTAGTACATGAATGTAGCTTTGACCATGTTGACTTGGGCTGATGAAGCATTAAATATAATTAATACCAATTTTCCAACCCCCTCATATTAACCCTCCGACGCAGAAAGCCCATTTAGTAACACACTTACAGTAAGGGGTCCCCCGGGGACCCAAATATTTAGCGCCACGGTTTGAGGCTACACAACACTGTATCCACATGAACACAATCTTGCCATATCTGTAGACTAAGGAGGTGTATTTGTATACATAGTCTGTGGTCAAGCCGTGCACTGTCTACTCGCAAGTGACCTTGTTTGTGCACGTGTATATGGTGGGTCCCCGGATGGGCAGAAATTGCATCGGTCCTTAGCCCAGGTTGTCATGCTCAGATATGCCTGACCCGGGGTCACACACTAAAGGTGACTGCATATATCCGTAGAGGGTGTCTCTTGCTAGGATTAGATGGAAGATCACCAGTATTGGTTTGAATTTTTTTTTTAAATTAAGGTAATTAACCAAATTGGGTCCCCAAAAGGGCTAGATTCTGCGCCGGAGGGTTAATTACAAAACAAATTATCCATGAAGTTTACTGCAAGGCAGATTTCAACATTGGCAAAGTAGAGGTCACAATTTGAAAACTTAATTAACAATAATGACGTTGGAACTTAATCACCCAAACCAGTGGTGATATCACAATAAAAAAGAGATGTTCACGATTCGTTATTATTGATAATAGCTTCAGACAAACATAGAAAAGGTCTGGGTATAAATGTTTCACATAAGGAAGGCAGTCATATGCTCAGGGATAAGTGAGTGGAAATACAATCACCTAACTATGGACCAAAAACAACTTTTTCACAATCATGTTGCAAGAAATGGCCAGTAAAGTAACTTAACTTGTTTCAGTAATCATTGAACTGCAAAATATATTGCTTTTAATGACTTAAACCCGCCAACTATGTCCACAAACTATGCCCAGCTGATCTCCTGTGTGGCACAAATGGTTTTTTTATATTTATAGTCTGGTACCTTCCAATTGGCCTTTCTTAAGTATATTGTAAGTCAGGGAACATGTCAGTTCAACTAGCCATAGAGGGTGCCCTTCGCCCAACACTTTTTGGCGGCATGTACAGGGGGGGGGGGTAAACTTTTCCAATGTTTGTTTTAATGTTTGATTGTTGTTTCTATGGGCTACTACATATTTTGAAGGGGGCAGAACATTAAAATGTGAAAAAAAAGTGACATAATACCCACCCCTAGCATAAGCTGTAGAAAACAGTCCTCGTATTCAGGTCTTTTATTAACCTGTGAGTATTTTTTTCATTAGATTTTCAGATGAAATTTGATTTATGGAGTCCCTCTTGCTTTTAAAGTGGTCTGGGGAAAATAGAAAAAAGCTGCTATATTTAAAGGGTGAAGTTTTTTATAAAATAGTCTCAAAATTGCCTACGCCGGCCATTCGCATGATTTGCATGCCCTCCACTTTTCTGCTATTTTGTGGGCCATGAACTTGAGAATTTGTAAAAAGAGAAGGGTGGAACCCGTGCACAGGACTGAGCTAAAACCCCTCATTTTTTTTCAATGGCACGTAGGCATTATTGTGTTTTTTTTTTCAAAATGGCGATGGGCTTCAGGACTTTTTTTTAGGGGTGATCATCTTTGGATGGAAAGTTCTCCAAAATGTCATTATTACCCCTCTCCCCCACCCAAAAATTAAAATAAAAAAATTAAAGATGCTGAAGTAAGCTTCTATTTGATGTGTGTTTCGAACAACTTGGACTTTTTCTGGGTTTTTTGAATCGGCGGCATTACTATTTAATGGTCTGCAACCTTATTCTTCATCGGTTTTCTGTGAAAGGGATTAGCGGTCACCAGTGCTCTTGAAAAGGTAAGCGGGGGACCAAAAAAAGGCCAACTAATAAAATACCTCCAGTTCCAATGTGACCGCTGCATGTGCAGTCCGTATGCGTAGGAGTCATGCAAACACACTTTTGGAAGAGTCCATCTGGGTCGGCACCCGCAGCGATGTCTACTGCCTTCTCATCTAGAAGGTAAAAGTCATGAACGAAATTGTCAATAATCAAAACGCCCTCAGCCAAAAAGCACATTTTTTAGATTTCCAAATTCCCGGGAGATAAATCGGTATATCCTGAATGCGAAAACAGTGGTTGTGATAAACCTCTTGTTGTTTGTATAGTAGTTGAGGTCTAAAGCTTTATTATTTTGATAAAAGCCTTTCCCAAAAATGTCGACCTCATTATGGACCGTCCAATGTCTGACGACTGCATTGACTAAAATAATAACGATATGAGGGGGTATTCCTGTATAGTAATGATTTCACAACGCACTAAAAGACGAAGACGTAAAACATAAATACGCAGGAAATCCGAAAAACATCATATTGATGAGCACGATTGTTTAGACCAATCCAGTCACGCTTCCACTTCAATTACGAAGACCCCCTTCAATGGCGAGTTATGGTGCCATGCCCTTCCCCCCCCCCCCCTTTTCAGAAGAGAAAATAAAGAATGTGTGTTTTTCTAACTGTGTAGTCAGACTCGGATGGTTTACACCGGCTTTCATGGTGTACTATTAAGGTCACTATACGCGGCTCGGTGTTCGTTTCTACGCGACATGGTGACAGACACATATCTTTCTTACGACATACTCTCACTGTGTGCCGAATTCCATGCTTTTATAATCAAATGAACAATTCCGTCCTAGCGTGCACCAGTCTACCCGACTAGCTGAACAAGTCACGAATTCAATTATTAGCGGTTCACAATACGGTTCATGATTTATTTCGTTCTGGTCCAAAGAAATATCACTATACAGTTCGTCTATGTATAAGTGTTGATTTTTTTTTTATAACAAGTGAAGTGCTGAAAACCAAAAATACCCAAATGGCGTACCTGGTCTGATATCTAGAGACCTTAACAAATTACCCTGCAGATCACTGAACCAGAAAAGGGGATTGTCCTCAAAAATGGTCCGGCTTTTATAAAGAAAATCACTGGTGCACAACCTTCAGACCATGAGTGATTAGATTGGAATTTTTAGGGCGTGTTTTTGTGTTCGCAACACTCCTGAAAATTGTTGAGGTCAACCCTTTTTCGAATTATAAATGGACTTTCCACTTCTATTCGGGGTACTCAAAGGAGATTTTCTATACCTGTTGATCTTGCCCTGTAACAAACATTGTGTATGGGGGACGTTTCGGGTAACCAACGACTTTTCCCCGTCGGTTTTTAGGCCAAATAAAAAAAAAACATACTGAAAAACGAAGGAGGGGGCCTTTTGTTTCCTTCCCAAAATGGCCGTTCGACCCATTCTCCAAAACGACCAGCCGGGCTTTTTTAAGATGGCCGCCAGTGTTTTTAAATGGCCGCCACTTGAACTCAGGAAATGACATACCAGCTTTCTATGTGCTAGATGCAACAGCCATAGAGGCCAAAATTATGTCACTGTTTAAAATGTATTATTTTTTTTTCGTTTTTTTTTTTTTACAATTAACCTTTTTTTAATTTTTTTTTTTGGCCTTACATGTTTTCTTCCGCTAGAATTTATAATGTCAATTGTACCCGTAGCCAGTGGACCTATTTTTTTTCTCTCTCTCTGTGATTTTTCCAAATAGAACTGGAATTTTACCTGAAACGCTATGAATCAACTTTATTTAAACTACATAGGCTATTTCCGTGCAGTGAGTTTCTGTTTGGAGACCGGCCACATGATTTAGGAACTGAGGTTTCCTGATCCAAAGATTGCCGGCTCGCGCTCTAAGCTGTGGCTACAGTCTTTGCATTTTAAGTGGAGTTAGCATTGACATGCATGAGTTGCTGGCTTTCGATCGAGATGCATGGTTATTTGTGATGTTATATATTTGTAAGGCATCTGGAAGTGAAACTGGTCCATGCAGAATACTGTTCAAAATTATGACTTAATGGTCAATTGGATAAAATACATCTCTGTTTTTATTTTGATATAATTTCCGGAAAATCTAAGGTTAGATGTAAAACCAATTTGTGAATAAAACTGTTTTGCTTAGTTTACGGGATATGCTGCCAGTTGGATGCCCTTAGACCTTCATGCGTGCACAAAAAAAAGAAATCCGAACTTTAATGACATTTAACCTATTACCTTAACTGAACGTACCCTCACCAAACTTTGTACATTTAGGTTTTTCGTAACTAGGAATCGACTTAGGCTATTGCGAGTTGACAACATTGCTAAGGCCCTAAAAAAGAGACTCCGGTTTCTGGTATGGAGCTTGCCCAAAAAGTGGTGCGGTGACGCGGCTTTTTTTTTCTACCTGTCTTTTTTGCTGTCAAATGTCGGCTGATGACTACAAATGATGCCCGACTAAACTTAGTGCAAATAATATGGGAGTCCGGAGAGGCCACATAAAGCTTATTTTCGATCACAACCCCATCTAAAAACACGTTAAAACTGTGCAGCAGCAGGATTCCAGTCAAACCAGTGAGTTTGGCGGTTTTGAGACTTCATCTTTTATTGAAAAAAAACACCACTTTTTTCATTTTGCCGACGCGCCTGGCTACTTCAACGCGCGCGCATACCAGAAACCGGAGAGTTTTTTTGTTTGGCCTACTGCTGCTATATAACGGCGTGACTTTGGGCGTGGTGCCTCGCAACACTGCAACACAGTCTTAAGGCTTCTGACTAGCGCCCCATGAACACGTATATTGTCATAATTATAGGGGGAACATCCAACATAGGGCTAGATAGCACAGTTGGAAGAGCACTGGAACGGTAATCCGGAGGTCGCAGGTTCGAGCCCGGCTTCAGTCAATTTCATTACTCAACTTTGAAAACAGTCAGGAATCGAAGTTGTCCATTCAGAATTTACTACATGGTTTAAACCTATGCATGGTTTAAATATATGCAGTACAATATTGTCTTTGTTAAATTTATCGGATGATTGTAGATCGGTTTGACTTTCAACGACTCACCCTCAAGACTTATCATACGACGCAACAGCTCCGCGAGCTTGTCTCTTGTTTCTGGGCTGTAATTTGGGTTGGCCTCAATCTTTAACAAAATGTAAAAAAAAATATACAAGAGTAAATGAAGAGAACGGATGGACACGACGTGATGTCATCAAGTTGATGTCACCTCTTCAACAAAACTCACACTTCCCAAGGTTTTTACTCCTAGTTTGTTTTGTAGCTGTTCTATTACATTATCAGCTCCCAACCATTAATGAATGCTTTCAGCAGTAGGATGGAGCCTCACAAATTAAAATATAAATGAATGGCACAGTTTCAAATTTTACGGCATTACGTAATATCGGACCATTTGCAAAGAGCGCATTTTTGGCCTCGTTGCTTATCATCCACAAATGTCACAAATGACGCAATCAACAATTACACATGAACGTCTTTTTAAGGTCTAGCAGGAGCTTCTGTATGTCACTTCGTGGTGGGTTGGTGGGTAGGGGGGGGGTGGGTGGTTGAGTTTGTTTCTGCATTCCATAGGGGAAAATGGGGGTCCCCGATTGCAGGCAAATGCACACTTGCGTTTGTTTATGGTGTAAATCGAGGACACACACGTGCAACATCATCGACGAATCGAGGCCAGAAACCAAACCAAGGACTCCTCGGTTGGAAAACGTGTACAGAATTAACGAGAGCTGTCGCGAAAAAGTACAAACACAGGAAAAGGGAAGAGGAACAAAAGAAAATCCTCGATTTACACCATAAGCGAACGTGATCTGATACACCGTATACCCTCTGGAGACGTGTGTTCAATAAGGAACAAACGATTGTATACCTCTTCACAGCGCAATTTCTATAAATGAATACGTCTCCACAAGGTTCTCACGAAATAGATATATGATTATTACTCAAAAACTAGGAATTTAAAAGCTATGTTGATCCGTCGCAAATGGAAGAGTTTAAGAAAAGGGATATTAAGTCCGAATTTAAACCAAGGAAATTAATTCTGGTCAAAATAAGAACATTTTTAAACCACACTTTTCAACTCGAAAACTTTAGTACACGAGAACAAAGGAATGTCTCCACAAGGATACAAATTCCGGTATGTGTGCTGGAGTGGGTGCGCAGGTGGGTCGGTCGGTTAGTCCCCGAAAATTTACCAAAAACATTTCTACCAAAATTGAGCAAATGCCAAGCCGTCGTCAGTAAATGGATTATACAAATTATTTGTAACAATTCGTAAAGTTGTTCTTTGTACGTTATCCAGAAGGAGGACATGAACATTTACCAAAATTGTTGTGTTCCGCGGCCCGGGCTTGTGCGTACGCACAGTGGCGTAGCCAGCCGGGGGGGGGGGGGGGGCAACCGCCCCCCCCCCCATGAAATCTTTCCCCCCCCCCCACAGTCGCCCCCCCCCCACTAACATTTTGAGTTTCTAAAACATTATCATTGATCTACATGACGTCATGGGCGTCAATCCTGGGGGGGGGGGGAACAGGGGACATGTCCCCCCCCCCCACTTTTTGGAGGGTGGGGGACACAATATCAAATGTACCCCCCCCCCCAGATTTTTGAACTCGTGTCTCATTTACAGGGCCCTATTATGTGCTACAATGTATCTTTTGCTTAGAAAATATTGGTTAAAGTGGTCAGAAATTGCCTCAGATAGCACCACAGAGCATTTAGAATCCAACAATTTTCGGAGCCCTTAAGCGGGCCCCGAACCCCACGCCTAAAGCTCAGAATTCTGGTAGCTGATTCAATGACTCCAACTCCGAAAACAATGTTCAAATTTTTTTTCTTATGCCTTTAGCTGAGAAAACCTCGAAAATTATGTTTCAAATATTATCTTTTGTGCTAAGATAATTATTGGTTAAAGTTGTAAGAAATTGCTTGAGATCACACCACAGAACATCTAGAATCAATTTTTTTTTCGGGGCCCTTAAGCGGGCCCCGAACCCCACGCCGTAAGGGCTTCGCTCTTCGCGCTCGCATCAGTTCTGATCAAGGTATGTCCGCCCCCCTCCACTTTTGAGAAGTGATTGACGCCCCTTCATGACGCCCCCCCATGAAATGTTCCAGCCCCCCCCCCCCAGCGCCCCCCCACTGAAAAATTCCTGGCTACGCCACTGCGTACGCATAATTATTTCATGCAAGACTTTCATGCAAGACGGCCACAGCTAATGTTTATTTTCCTGCTCAAAAGTCTGTGGTAATCAACGTTCAGGCGACTACAAAGCGGTCTTTTTACTCACGAACGTATACCCTCTGTACAGGGTGAGTAAAAAAAAGATACCCAACTTTCGGGACTATTGTTTTATTGCAATTCTGCATGTAGCACTATACAAATCTAGTGTATAAAAGCCCAATTAATACGCTTTCTTTTAGTACAAGAATCATTCAAATCATTTATGTGCTTTTCAAGTTACGGAATGTTAAACACAACCACTGTCTACGGATCACCAAAAACGGTGTGCGTTCTTTCAGCAAAAGGAAAACAATTCACAGACATCCCTTTGTGATTTGTTTTCGTTTTTCTGAAAAAAAAAAAAAAACCTTTTTTTTGCGATCCGTGGACACAACCTTAAAACGGTGGTTGTGTTTAAAATTCCGTAACTAAAGAAAGTACATGAGTGATTTGAATGGTTCTTGTACTAAAAGAAAGCTTATGAATTGGGCTTTGATATGATTGACATGTAATGTTACAAACGTAGAGAGGTCGGGCAGGCATTTTCTTTAACTAAACACTGCCGAGTCAAGTTATGAATATTTTTTATGTAAGAACAAAGGTTCACGAAATTAAATCCTTTCCAGTACAATACATTATTTTCTGATGAAATTCAGTAAACATTCTATGTACACTACAAGTTATTTCTGGCTTGATGACGCCATTATTCATAAACGGGAAGTGAATACTGATTTAGTTCGGAGTGGATAAATGTTCATTGTGAAATTAAATAACGTATACAAATTTGGAAAATATAAGTGTATGTATTCATAACACCTAACCCACGGTTTGATGACGTCACAGTATTTGGAAGCAAAAAGTGAAGATTGTAATAGATATCGTTATTTGGGCCACGGATATACGACATGGATGGAATGATATAAATTAAAATCCAAATATGGTCGTTTTCAAATTTTTATAGAAGGAACTTCCGGTCTGATGACGTCATGAATTTGAAACCTTGCCAAGTTATCTGTGGTTTATTATAGAATATTAAGGGGCGATTTGGTAAAATTTGAAAAGATGGTTTTCAAATTAAAGAAAGCAAACACTTTTTATGTGCTGCTAGGGGCGCCCTTTCGAAAGATGACGCCACCACACTAATTGTTGTGTCTGGCATTCCTCACTAAGCACTTTCATAATTGTGAGGCAGTGCGTTCGATTACTTCCCCAGCGCTTACTCGTGCAAGTCAGAGCGTCTCGCGTATTTGCAATGGGCGTGGATGTGCTCTAGACACTTAATTGATTCGGATGCAGCCTGGGTAAAAAAAATGTTGCAACCTGACGCCACTTCCGCGATTGTGTACAATGTTTATGGAGAGAGTCAAGACAATTTTCTTTGTTTTCCTAACAAAATTGGAAATATTTCTCAGTCCCAGATTCATGTCTTATCATCATTTTTGCAATGAATGACCTTCATTGAGATGATTTATGAAGAAAAAAAGTGGCGCCAGGTTGCAACATTTTCTTTTTCCGCCTGCGTTATGTCAAAATTAAACTTTCCAACCATGGGCGTTGCGAGAGGAGGGGGGGCAAGGATGGCGCAACCCTCCCCCTCCCCCCTTACGGAAATTCCTCCCCCCCCAAAAAAAAAAAAAAAAAAAAAGGAAGGAAAAAAAGAGAAAAATAAAAGAAGGAAAAAAGGCGAGAAATCATACTGTTGTAAATTGAATGGGGGAAAGCAAAATGTCCCCCCCCCCCTCTAAAACTAATAAATCGAGAATATGTTGAAAAATACAGGATTTTTCTGGGGGGAATATCTTTGGCCCCCCTCTAGAAAAGATCCTGGCGACGTCCATGTTTCCAGCTTTTGCACGAAACTTTACCCGAAACCGTTCGTTTATTTAGCTCCACTGCGCATGTCTATTTTCACGCGAAGAGCCAGGCGCGAGTAAGCTCGGAGGAAGTAACTCTGTGTGTAGTAAAATGCTTCCACTTTTGAGCAATATTTGTTTTTTATTGCACTTCAGGTAACACACCGAAAGTGAAGGTCAAGCAGTTTTGTGTCAGGGAACAAGAAATGTTTCTCACGGCAAAGTCTACATCCTCACGAAAGAACGAACACGATTCTCTATTCCGATATAGCGCAAACTGTTTTGTCAAAATTTTGTAAAGTTTGGCCAAAATGAAAATTTCAATCTTCAATCTGCATTAATTAAAAAAAAAAAAAAAAAAAAACGTGCTTCTTATGGTCAAGAACAAATTATTGGGATGGTTGGGAAGAAAATCCTACTAAACTATTAAACACCAATACTATACCATTGACGCTAAAAACATGAATATAGTCACCTCTGTTGATACATGTATACATGTACCAAAGCAAAACCATTGACTCTAAAAAAAAAAATATATACATCTCGGTTGAAACATTTATACCTGTCCAGTACAATACCATTGACTCAGAAACATGAATATAGACACCTTGGTCGATAAATTTGGACGATTATTCTGCATAGGTAGATGTTTATAGAAACAACAAAACCGGAAGGTTTGCTAATTGCGGATGTTAGTTTGCAATTATGCATACAATACACACAGTATCATAATCATCGTAAAAAGGCTTTAATGAATTCGTTGACCATGAAAACATGAGTAAGTTACGATGGGGCACATTCCTTCGGAGAAAATAGAAGTATGCCATAAATATTTCTGACAATGGTGGGTACTTATTTGCATAATGTGCATACAATAAGTACATAATTATTGTAGAAATGTCGTCAATGTATTCGTTGAGCTTTAGAACATGGGTTTAGATAGATCTTTTTATACGATTCGACAAATTCCAAGTTGCAAACCTAAAGGGGAGAGGGGTTGCAACACCATAGGCCAAAAACAATTAGTGTCCGGTTTCTGGTATGCGCGCGCGTCGCCGTAGCCATGCGCGTCGGCAAAATGAAAAAAAAAAATCAATAAAAGGTGATGTATTAAAACCGCTAAACCTCACTGGTTTGACTGGAATCCTGCTGCTGCACAATTTTAACGTGTTTTTAGATTGGGTTATGATCGAGAATAAGCTTTATGTGGCTTCTCTGGACTCCCATATATTTGCACAAAGTTTAGTCGGGCACCATTTGCAGTCATCAGCCGACATTTGAAGCAAAAAAATAAGGTAAAAAAAAAAAAAAGCCGCGTCGCCGCACCACTTTTTGGGCAAGCTCCATACCAGAAACCGGAGACTTTTTTGGGGCCTAATCAACGCTGACCAATGTTCAGATACTAGTAAAATGGGGCCAAACATATAATATTTCAAAAGTTTTCCTGGTGCAAGTCCCCGACCGACCAACCAGCTGGGAGTACGGTGCCTTCGGTCCTTCACTCAACCCAAACACCCCTGCCCCGTTTTCTGAAAGCTATATCCTACTGACACCCAGTTGTGAAAACAAATTCGTTCTCGCACTCAACTCTTGCTCAACAGTACTAACACCCCGCCGAATTCTCGGCATTTTCCTCCCTAACCGTGGCAAATCATCCCACTCACAAAACAAATCCAACTCTACCTCCTAGTAATTTCCTACCTGGTTAAGGCCAACAACCAAGGCAGTCAGGAGAAAGACCAAGACAAGAGCCATCCTCATATCTTAAATGAGTGATCCGATTTACTGACGTTTCCTCACACGGGCACCTTGCGAGAGTTTAGGCAAAACTGCAAAACAGTGTCTGTGTAATGAAAGTAGATTGTGGACTCTTCGAACTATCGTCACTTCAATGTGTTGAAGCTCTGAATAAAACCGTGACCTGCGTCGCGTCACGCATGCTAAACAACCTGAATGCTAACAATGGTAGGCCTAACCCGTACTTTTTATGCGCGACGACCCTTTTGAGCACGGTCGCTACGTGCGAAACGAGAAAGTTGTGTATTTTCGGTTCTGGATATGCGAGATTATAATTTTGCCTCAAAAGAACAGACCTAGGCCAGTGAATTCATTCGTCTTTTTTTGCTAGGGGCAGTCATAGAGAATCATACACCGAATCTAAATGCAACTTTTGACTTTCACCCCAAATAATCTCGAATGTACAGTGTGTGTCCAAAAAAAAAACCTATACACTTTTCAAAATTGGCCATAGTTTTATTCTGTAGCAATATAAATAAGATGTTTTCATATGTACTTTTAAAGTAACTCTTCTGGTTTGTCATGGTGTCATTTTCACTGGAATAGTTTTCATGCATACTGCACATGAGACAATTAAAGGGGTCGGGTAAAATGTGACTTGCGCCAACTGGTCAGGGCTGGATAAGAATGAGACAATTAAAGAACACTTTAAAGTATATATGAAAATATTTTATCTATATTGCTACAGAATAAAATTATGGCCAATTTTAAAAGTGTATTTTTTTTTACTCACACTGTATGCATGCCGGGGAGGGGGGGGGGAGGGGGGGGGGGGGGCGGTACCCACCTTCCAAATGGGGACGCTCTTCAAAACTGACCATTATTATGAATACTGCAAATTATATACCCATTATCACGGCACTCTGCCCCTCCCCCAGGATTTTTTTCACGAATTGTTTTGTTCAGTAATTATTCCAATAGATGCATATCAAATCCTTTGTGATCAAAAGGTGGGGGGGGGGGGTTCTATCCGTGCTGCCATTCTCTGTTGCTGATTGTCTTTATTTGTCGTCCATGTCAGAGAAGGAAGTAGTTACCAAAAGCCCCCCCCCCCCTTGCTGGAGAGTAATTGAGACGTCACTGGAGGTTCGGTTTGTAATGGCGAAAATCAGCTCCTGGAATTTATAATACGCAAAATAAAAGAACCAGTATAAACCAGGTGAAGCCTCGTTCTCGTTTGTTATGGAGATGTAATGGCGGACACGATAACATGGTACGTACGGTCACCCTGTGCGAAAAGAGGAATTTCGTTACGGTTCTCAAGTTGTCATCAATTATACACCGAATCTGAATGCAACTCAAATTGTTCACCCCAAAATTATCATGACTGTGTGTGGGACACAGGCTAGTACCAACCCCTGCTCTTTGAAAGCGCGGAATCTGCCCAAAGGCTGTCACTGCCAACATAACAAAGAACAGTGGAAAAGGGAAGTTTCCTTTCCACAGGCATGCAACTTTTCTTTTGATCAAACTGTCGCCACTTTTAAAAAGAAAACACACTGTAGAAAATTGTATTCATTGTGGAATAGCATGCACTCGGTTTTCTCTGGCACTTATTGAAAGAACTTGTGCTCTTATAGTAAAGCTCGCTCTCGTTTCGTATGGATATATTATGACAGATACAATTAAAGGAGGGTTGTATTTAGTTTTCCTTTAGTTTAACTGACAACAAAAGAGAAAAAATACAGATATGGAATTAAAAACGAACAGATATGGAATTAAAAACAAACAGAGAGAAAACAAAACGCTGTTAATTAGCAAGCACAAAGAACACCGATGAGATTTGATGACTGTTTTTTGCATTTCATGCTCAGCGGCATTAATCCAGTCAAATTTAAAGAATTAAGTAATGTAACAGTATTGTAACAGATTGCCGTCATCTGATTGATGGGATGTTTATCATCACGTGTCATCCAATTATTCGTCTCAACCCACGGCCCGGCCGCGAATTACTTTTTCCCTTCGCTCGTACCCCCGCCCTGCAAACAGGGCGCTGGTAAGGGCTGATGAGCTTCACAGAATCTTGTGAAGGAGGTACACACTGACCTTTGCATGCAGCTAGCGCGCTACGCATGATGGGCACTGTTTGCAGGGCGGGGGGTCAATCGAACTTTTTCCCAAACAACATCGTATGGATGGTTGTTGAGCGCCCTCTACGATAATTTTATTATACGTACGCGGGTATATAATGCCATTAATTATCGTATGCTATCGAGCTTAATGGATAATGCCGTGGTTTTGAAATCGGAGGATGTGAGTTCGAAACCGCATATTTCAAAATATTTTTTTTTATCTACGGCTCTGGAGGATTTTTTTAAAGGGAAATATTATTCCACTCCACGAGGAGAGGCAGCGTGGAATGGAACATTTAGTCAGTCACCTAATGAAATTACTCCTATCATGACACAGATGTGTAACATTCATCATCGTTGTATACAACGCCTGATTAAATCCTCATCATCTGATTGGTAATTATCAGATGACAGTCAGACCAATCATCATCTGATTGGTCTGACTGTTTGATGTGTGACAGGTGTTGACAAAAAAAAGAAACTAGGCAATATTAACTGTTCTATGATAAAGCAAACAAAATCCAAATTCATTTCAAATTCAAATATAAAATTCACAATGTTTGGATATCATAAATTCGCCTTCCATATTCATAAAATACACTATCACAATAAATTACACTGTGCTCCTGAAACAATGTTTCAAAATAGTAATTAGTATTACACTTAAATGGTCAAATGTTGCTTTCAAAATAACAAGGAGAATTACACCATAATATTCGAATGTTGCTTTCCAAATAAGAGAGTTTCTTAATTGTAATGAATCTATAGTCATTCTACGAAATGTATACTTGTTTAAACTTCTTATTGTTTTTAATTTGTGATGTATACTGTGTTCATGATTTCTCCAATGGTTGAAGTAATAATATGCATTTGCTACTAAACCTACAATGAACAACTGTATGACAACATTCTCTCGTTTGACCTCTGTGATCCAAAACCGTGATAGGATGAGAGTAGCCTAATTTAAGTAAGCGTCAAAAAAAGAAAACATTTTCTCTTTGAAATTTTCATATGACTTCCATCGTGAAAGATGCATCATGAAACATAAGATAAGGAAGCCATGAAGTGTTCTCTATCTAACTACCATCTCATTCTAAAACAAGACTATAATACTCCCCCTTTAAAATCCCCTGTTCTTTTTGTTTTTCTTCTTAATTGCAGAAGTTACAGAAGCACTCGAAAAACTACTCTATCGTGGTAGTCACCAATACATGTCAGCAACACTCTAAGGCGTTACGTGTTAAAATCTGCAGCCACACACCGAGACATCGTTCTTTCCGGCGGAGAATACCTGCTTCAGAATCGGTCTGGAAAGTGTAAAATAAAAGAGGGGGGGGGGGAACATAAACATAGAGCGTAACTATAAAGCCTGAATTCCGCTCCTATTTCGATGTGTTCGCAGCTTCTCGCCCGGTCAATAAGGCAACCAGTAGTAGTACACCACATGTGGGCAAACAAATTAAAAGTTATTTATTGGGAAAGTGTCTGTCTTTATTTACCTTTTTTTTCGCAGCAAACTCTTGCACATTTCCTCGCCCAAAAGTCAGCAGTGACATATAATGAGACAGAAACACAGTAACGAGGTCTACACAATGGCTGCCACGTAATAAGGAGGATGCTTTAATTATCGAGCACACAGTTGTTAGAGGGCGTACTCTTCATTTACTGTGGATGATTACATTGTACAATATCAGCTTAGTGCAAGCATCATTTAGTGTGATACTTTTTTTACAACGAATGATGTCTGAATTCTGAACTTTTCAATGTAACAGTCGACGCCATGCATGTTTAAACTTTGACACACAAAAAAGCAATTACGCGCGTCAGCATGAAAAATTATACTCTCTCTAATCTTGTCTGCTTAAGAAAACGCAATATTCCCACAATGATGTGCGCAAAGGACCTTAAGATTCTGACTACCCTAACTGCCTAAACATCGGAGGTTGAGTGGCCGCCAACATAACGTGAACAAACCGGGCAAGGTTGGTTCCGAAATTGACCGAAGATTTCCAACCACCGTGTTTGGATAATCGTTCCTGACACTGTGATGTTTTGGTGATGTTCGTGGCAACTCAAATGTTTCTGGGGTGGGCGTTGCAAGTCAATACATCGATAACAACCCAGTCACGGATGCGTCTAATTATAATCATGACGGCTCCCTGACCTAGGATCTGTTAAGAGACGTCAGGGGATCTTCAAAATCCAGAACCAGACCACTTTTTGAGGTTACCTCTTGGGGGCGCACAGCAATGGTACACTTACCGGATTTCCCTGGGTGCGATATAGCACGTCTGTGGGATCTCGAAGCCGTTAAATTCAGACACACGTGACTTTACATAACATCCCATATCTGAGGTTTTGATAAGCAGATAGAACAAATAAGAGCATAGACATCTAGTACCAGTATATAAAATGCATGATTCTCCAAACTCGTGATATGGTGATAACTGTCCTTTCTAGATCCATACTACGTTAATTCTCCGTTGAGAAATGTTGGATCGACCCGGAGAAGATAATCGAATGTTTCCTCCGTCACATTACGCCGGTTCCTGGGAATAGACCATTATCACATTGCAGCCATTTGATTTTTTTCCCCATTCAAATTAATGTAACCAAAGCGAGGCTTGAAGGACAAATAGTCTGGTTCCTTTTTGCAAAAATAAACCCATTATCATTCAGTATTGTTGTTTGATACAGGGAACATGACTGAAATGGTGGCAGCATGATATAGGTCTATACAGATCCTTTGCATTGCCACCACCATTGAGCTGTGTGCTTTTTCTTCCCGAGGTTTAAGCAAAGTATCTCTCCGGTACAGTCGTTATGACTGAATTTAATTAACAAAGATCAACTCAACGTACCGTGAAACATGACGAAGTCCCCGCTCTCCATCTCTGGCATCATACATTTGTCGAATATGACATCCTTGGGATGACACGTGGGTCCCCAAAGGCAGGAGGGCTTCAGCTGCAGCTGCTGCTCACCAGGTTCCTGCGGTTTTTATTTAATAATTGATAACACATCCATGTTACTTCATTGAACAAATGCATGACGAGTCGGTACACATTTTGTTGGATGCACAGATGCTACTTGCACGCGAATTATGTAATAACCTGTGAATATTGTTCTTACAATGCTAGACTGATCCGGCAAAAGGGGTCAACCCGATGTTCCCAATGTTCCTATGCTCCCAGTCCCTTTGTTCCCAACTCCCTACGGTTAGGGTCAGTTTTAGGGTTAGGGTTAGTGTAAGGTTTATGTTTAGTGTTTGGGTTAGGACTGGGGAACAGAAGGACTGGGGAACATAGGGACCAGGGAACATAGGTACGCACCTATCCAATAATTCCCGCCGAATACGCACCTGGGCAACACGCTCCCCACTCCCATTGACCTTTATCATGTTGCCACCATTTCAGTCATGTTCCCTGTTTCCAATAACAGTTCTAAATGGTAAGGTTTTTTTCTTTTCTTTTCTTTTTTTGGCAAAAAGGAACCAGACTATTTTTTACCTTCCGGCCTCGCTTTGGTTACGTTTATTTGAATGGGGAAAAAATAAAGATGGCCGCAACATGATAATGGTATATTGCCACACTGCATTTTGCAGCCACGCGCGTCATACCCACGTGTATTCATGTGGGATATCTTGTGCACGAGTGTATTGTCCATGTAGCGTCGTAGGGCAGAGTGTACTGGGTTGGTCTATTGGACAAGTGAAGCGTATAGTCTCTGGCATATGCCAGAATATCAACTATGTTTACCTCTTGACGCAGCAACTCGGGACGCTTGAGGAAACAATCAACGTAGTCTAGGCCAAATGCATTGTGGACTCCCACATTCAAGTAGTACATCCATACAGGGCTACCTAGAGTGTCACAACGTCAATGTTCATGGCAACGAGATGAGAGAACAGAACATTTTTGTCAACAAAGACGAAACTCTTTGCCAGCGTATTATTGCAAGAATCATCCAATTTGATATTTGTTTTCAGACGCCTGGTGGCAGCAGACACACCTGTCTTGTTCTTTTGGTTGCGTCATTTTGAACATTATGTAGCACATTGGCTTATTACATTAGATAACACATGACGAAAACATTATGACGGGTGTGTTGATGCCACCGATAATGTCAATAGTCTAATATTGTTTTAGATCGTTAAGAATTACATGTACAGGGTGAGTCGATCCAAAGATAAACACGAACACCAAATGTCGGGACTATTGTTTTATTGAAGTTATGCATGTAGCGCTTTTGAAATCTAGTATATGAAACCCCAATTCATGAGGTTTCTTTTAGAATGAGAATTATTCAAATCACTTATGAACTTTTCAAGTTAAGGAATTTTAAACGCAACCACCGTTTTAAGGTTCTTTTCACGGATCACCAAAAAGGTGTGCGCTCTTTCAGCAAAACAAAAACAATTCACACACACATCCCTGTGTGATTTGTTTTCGTTTTGCTGAAAGAACACTGAACTTTTTTGCAATCCGTGGACATACCTTAAAACGGTGGTTGTGTTTAAAAGCCTCTAACTTGAAAAGTACATGAGTGATTTGAATGATTCTTGTACTAAAAAAAGCTTATGAATTGGACTTTTATATCTAGATTTTGAAAATGCTACATGCAGAACTTCTCTTAACAATGGTCCCAATATTTGGTTTTCGGGTGTTTTTTTTACTCATCCTGTATTTCAAAATACAATGAAATCCAGTGGCAGTTTTGCAGGACTAAATACAAAAGTCTAACTATACATTCTTTTTGTATGAACTTCTTATTTATGTTTTGCTAGAACTTGCCAATTTTCTTTTCTTTCAAAGGTCACACATAATTGCAAATCTATGTGTATTGTCCTAGGCCTTTTGATGTCTCTTTTGATTGTTGATGTACTTGAATTCATCCGTCAGTTCTCTTTGTAAAAAAATCCTGAACTTCACATATCAAGTCACTAAATGTGAAAATCTTGGATTCACCAGGCAATACATGCAAATTTTGCTTGTATCTAATACTTCAGAAACTACTTTGTTTTCCAAGTAATGTTACTCGATTGGGGAAGAAGCTCGTTAGTTCACTTAGAACAAAATATTTAAGCATGCATCCATACAATACCTGTCGTACTGTTTATAGTTTCATCTTGTTTGTTTGGCCTGTCAATCCGCTTGGCCATGACGTTTGCCACCAGGTACCCGGCCGATCGTGTGTAGAACGACCCCGGTTCAGCTATGACCGTCACACCGCTACTTGGTGGGAAGTGCTCCTCCAGGGCCTCGCGGACTGCCTCGGCCAACTGTCAAGCAATGCAAATGGCGGGGAGTTCGTGTTTAACAATTATCCTGGCCACATAAAATTTAAATAAATATGTGTGAAACACATTTAAATAAAATGGAACAGCCCCCCCCCCCCCCCCTGTGATCTGGCCTGCAGGATCCTGCAGGCCATACAACAGCCACTGCGGCTGCATGGACATTATTCCCGAGGAAGCCATTTTGGTCGTGTTCCCGGAATGCAGTATATAAATTAGAAACTGTTGAATGGGATGGTGCCAGACTGTTAATGCATTCTAGCCTCAATTTCTTTTTATTTCAATGTGGCTTAACAATTATGGTATGTTCAACCCTAAAAGGGCCGGGGCGTAGTTCGCCCTTCCCCCTCAACTTTTTCCGCGATAGCCTAGAAAAAATAATCGCAACCCGAGCTGTAATGATTGTTTAGTCTCGAGCCTTGCACATCTTTTGATACTAACAAACATAAACACGCCGTGAAAACTGAATTTTCCCATTACGTCGTGTACACAGAGCAGAATTACCATTCAAACATATCGTCACCAACACCACGAACTGACACCCTCTGCATCACATGTGTACACAAACAAATAAAAATAAAATTTTTCTTTTTTTGCACTTATTAGCAGTTTGTATCATGAAGTTTAACATGACGAGGTTAAAATTGCTGAAATCATCTAAAAAAAGCGAATCTTACTAATGAATTTTCAAGAAATTGGTCAATTCTGGTATTTTTGGTTACCACGAAGTGACACTGCACAGGGTGTCAGTTCGTGAAAACCAAAATTTACCTGTTTGCGCGCACTCTCCCAAAACGCGTCAATTTTGGTTTTCACGAACTGACACTCACTAACGCTATTGCATGCGCGCACTCTCCGAAAACACGTAAATTTTGGTTTTCACGAACTGACACCCATCTTAATCATTTAATTGCTAATTAACTAAGTAGATTTTTACAATATAACGTTTATAATTGAGTAGTGAAAGCATTTTTTCGTTGAGTGATACTAAAACCTCTAAGATAAATGGAACATTTTACTGAGTAAATTCTTGTCAAACCTTTCAAAGCGTTTTTCTCCGATTTGTATTTCTGCAACGCTGACCACCGGGTGTCAGTTCGTGGTGTCGGTGACGATATGAATAATTAATAAGCCATAATCCCCCCCCCCCCCCCGCTGAGAGCTGGTCACAACAACCTGATCCTTTTAGGGTTAATCACAAATGTTTCATTATTCATCAGAGCAAGCGACTTCCCAAATGAAGATTTTACCTCGCTTTCAATTTAATATTGCCGTCTCGTCGATAAAGCCAAATGTATCGTTTTATTTACATAACCAAAGTCAAGGGACGTGCCACCGCAGACGGAAACATTATCGCCTCATAACATTGATGGTACGACCAGTGCTGTAAGCATACGGCGCGCATGTAAATTCTTTGTGCACAGGTCGTTCGCACTTCAATGTAAAGGTCAAGCGACTTCACGTACACAACAAGAAAATCAATCAAGGCACGGTCCATCAGACCACAAAGTGCGAACATGATTCTTGTGGGTTTTTTTCATGAGTTATAGGATTGAAACAAAACAGTCAGTTTTGGAACTAAAATCGCTTATTTGATACCTGATGACGTCATCATGACGTCACACTTGTATACGCACATTTTTTGCTATGAGGGTTCATGTTCATGACAAGTTTGAAGTTCATGAGCTGTTAAATTTAAAAGAAAAGCCGCGGAGAATAATTGTCATGTAATTGTCAGAATAATTGATGGTTCCCCAATCACACAATGAGAACAGAAAAAGTCGGTAAAGTTGTTTCAGTACCTTTTCGAAGGCTTCTTCGGTGTGCAAATTTCCAGGGAATCCACCACCAATGTCCAGCAGATCCATTTCTAATCCCAATTCTCGTCCAGCCTTGAAAATAGGCCGGCTGTGTTGGATTGCCTGGACGAAAACTTGCGGGCTGATGGTATTGACGCTGCCGACATAAAAACTAGAAAACGAAAACAAGACGCCTCTGAGTTTTAAATAGAAACACGGGGGGGGGGACATTGGTATTTGTTATCATTTTTTGACACTTTTGAATTTGTGAAATATATTGTTAAACTCACTGTAAACAGATTAGACCGTCGTTTTGAATTTTGGATGATTGGTGGAGGTGTATAGGCTCAACTGAAACGCAACTTACAAAATGTAAACATGATAAAAAAAACACACTCCCACAGTCGGAAACAAGGGACTTAGTCTTGGTCAATGCTCTCGTCGTTATTTGTCCCGTACGCGTTAATCAATCGGCGGCATATTCTCGCGCGAACAGAGACCTCATGCGGCAACTATTTTTTTGGCAGATCAGTTGGGGACGATTGCTACTAGGGACTAGACGTTTTAGAGTGAAATTTCTTCAATCGTAAAGATCGAGTTTTCACACGAATTTTGACCGAAGCGGTTCATTTTTCAGACTATTTAAATCGAAAATGAGAGTGATTTTCACTCTAAAACGTCTAGTCCCTAATTTACTGTTTGGCATTTAGAGTACCCGTCAAGAATACATCATCAATAACACGAATTTTCGGCTAAGTATAAGTGACATCACATCACCTGGTGTATTAGAAAAAGAATAGCCAAATAGAATGACTGAGCAATGGAAAGACTGCAACATTCGTTTACCTCACTCCTGTAACGGACAGTCCCATGTTCTTTGCCAGCTCCAACAGAGGGCGAACTTGACTTTCGCGACATCCGAATTTGATTGGCATTTTCAAGAAATCGAAGCGCACGCGAAGTATCAGCCTGAATACAACAATGAGGAAAAGCATAGTTAACACATATAAGACAAGCACTCGCTGTGGTATAACATCCATTGCTGTAACGGTCTCTCCGTTGACAAAAGCAGTGCCAGGAAAACCGCACATTTTCAACATGGTTGAGCCCATCGCAAATATAAGTTTGTCTTTACGACCTACTGCGATTGTTGGACATGCACGTTGCACACATACATTAGCGTAAACAACGCCCTCAACAGTACTAACCTCCCTTCATTCATGCAAACAAGCAATATAGGGGTACATCAACAAGCGATGTTCGTGTCAATAGATCTCAGCTCATGTCTGAGGGAAGCCCTTCTGTCTCTCTTCGAATAACTATCAGTTATTAAGAGTCTTTGTTGGACTAACACACAAAAATACTCACTTGGCATCCGGGTGCACGCGCTTGACCTTATGCAGCTCTTCTTCCGTGTCAAAGGTCATGAGCCTGACCCCCTTTTCCCTTGCGAAGCGTAGATGCGATTCCTGTTTGCAGGGATGAGCAAAGATGATGCGATCTGGACTCACTCCTAAATCGAGGACCATCTTTATTTCGTTCTTTATAACACAACAAAAACACAGTCATATCAAAAGATATAAATATACAAAGCAATAACGTGCTTGTCGTTCCTTGTCGTGTGTACATTGAAGCACAGCTCATAAACACAGACCACCGCCTACTGGCTGCCCAGCCTGCAGCCCACACTGAAACTGAATGCTGCTCCATCTGTCAAGCTTCAGCCCCGCCTAGACTCGTCGACCCAGCCATTAGACCCACATTCTCCAGTGTCATCTCCAACTGATTCAATGAATTGGTTGAAGAATACTTCACCAGCTCAGCACTTTAAATACCAAGTCGGGGAAACAGTCACAAAGACCTTATGACTTCCAAGATTGATCACTAAAACAACCAAGGTATCTCGCAAGCGTCGCTTCAGATCATTGAACAACGTACGCTGGCAAGCACGCCTCCGTGGAGACATGGAACATTATCACCACCTAATACTTTTACAAAATGCATCCATTGCGAATAACCGAGAGAAGTACTTGGAAGAGGAAGTCAGAGATATGCAAATGGCTGTAACAAATCATGGACAAAACAAGATGTTCAGCATGCTGAGACTGTAAGACGGGTCAAACGCTGCCGGCTGGACTGCTACACGCGAACTTGTTAAAGGGAATGAACAACATTTTCTTTTGCTGCAATAATGGATTTGGAGGATTAGTTTGTTATAGCAAATATTGTTAAACTGACTTGTTTCACGTTTTGGGCTTGTAAATGCTGGAAATACCAAGAAACCCATCATGTTCTTGTAATCTGGTTCCCTGGCCCACTTAAAATGAAACAAAGCGATGTATAGACTTTGGGGAATTGTAAGGTCAGAGAATCAGTCACAGGTGTGTAATTAATTGCAAAGAAAATGCGGAACAACTGTTATGCAAAATTCGGAGCGGTTTTTGAAAAAAAAAAACAGGTTTTTTTCCAACGGTGGTAGGCTGACCAGCGTTTGACAAATGCTTTTCTTGAAAATGTCAGCACACCAGGAGACACGATTTTACAGGATGCTTTAGACTGTCATTCCCGTAACAACCCAGTAAGGTCTTTTGTGATAATTTGATCATTTCTTCCCTTTAATCAAGGCCAGCAACGGATTCATTCTCTCCACTGAAGTTGGCTGTTTTGGGAAGCTGGAAGGATTACTTCAGCCATCTCCCACACCATCCTCCAGTATCTCCAAACACAACACTGACAATCACGGCAGAGCCCCGAGTGGAGCACCACCCTGTTACCCAATACGAGTTTAAGACTGTTATGAAACAACTAAAAACAACAACACAGACCCCGGAATTTGCATTTTTACTTCAGAATTCTGAAGGCAGGTGCTGACTGTCTCATCAAGTGGCTCACACGTATCATCAACCACATGTAAAGTCAGGAACAGCTACCTATAAACGGGACACGTGGATTACATTCCTCTCCTTCTGGGACCGTAACGATGACCAGCTTCTCTGTAGCAACCATTCCTGCATCACAGTCTTGCCCATATCGGGCAAACCATTCCTCTGCAATTTACAAGCAGCTGATGGACTCCTCCATTGCGGATGCTTATTACCACCTCAGACGACGCGTCGTCGCCGATGGACTATGATACATCAGGCTTGCTCTACGCACCGCGTCAGTCATGGCGCCCTCAAGAGACTTAACGTGTTGGTGAGAAATAAAATGTCCATTTGGCCACCCATTGGTGATGGCTACAGTAAAAACTCCATGTTGGCACCTAAACTTCTGTCTTAAAATCACCAATAGACCCCTTGACTTTGACGTCACATCTGAGGTCAGGTCTGTGTTTCTCTGTGTTATACATGAGCAGACACACTGTACTTTCATTGCCACATTATTTAAATACCGACAAAACCTGTCTTCAGGGACAAAACCTGTCCAAAGGAGAAAATATTAGATTTACACGATCCGACTAAACAAAGGGACTACTGCAAAATTATAATCACATCTACTGTTCCAAAAATACGAGCGATTCATAGTGAAGTGCGCCCCCAGATGCCCAGACCAGCTTATTGTTTGTATAATTGTATTTTGGATGTGGAAGGTTTTTAAAATGCAAACACGAAACTTTACAAACGCCTCTTGTTCTTACTTTACTGCTGCAATCGAAGCCTCTTCCCAGACCAAGCAGAAGTCGCAAAAACACTGGATCTGGGTTACTCTTGACGGCTTTAAGAAAAAAGAAAATATACAATGTGCATATCAAATAAAATAAAGTACATGCAAATATACTTGTATAGATTTGTATTAATAGAGTACCGATTCCGTGGGTATTTATGCTTGCATCGAAATACATTTTGGCAGATGGACGGACTCCAGCTATTGCACTCTTCTGGCTGAGAGCGTAAATCACCTTGACGAAAATCTTCAAGATTGGAAGTTATTGAAGACAAAAATGTTTAACTTTTTTGTTTGTTTAGATATGTTCAACATATTTTTTAAGAAAGCAAAGGACTCGTTCGATTGATGTTTCCTTATCGCCAGCCCTGATCGTCGGGGGGGGGGGGAAGGACCAACTAAGCGGGCCCACTACCGAAAAAAATACAAAAATACACATGTATGGCTTTTCCCGTTGGGCAGGGGGAGGGGCAATTGCTCGCCAAGGGGGCCCGGCCCCACCAGGCCCCCCTCTGACGACGGGCCTGTATGATAGCATAAGGTTTCAGGGATTACTATAGTTCAAGTTAGACAATTCAATTAGAATAACTTATCATTTTCAGGCCCGTACCAAGCGAGAGGGGGAGGCTGCGCAGGTTGCGTACGCACCCCACACTACCCCCCTCCCCCCCCAAAAAAAAAAGAAAAAAAGAAATGGACATAAAATACGAAAAAGTCCTAACCCTTTCAAATCTGTGCCACCAACTTATATTTACATCTGGCGGAAGACGTCCCAAAGTCCCAATTTTCCAAAGCTAATTTTATATTAACATTTTTTTTTCCAGTATACAATATCTCGAAAACATATTGACTGTCCACCACCCATTGCGCGTAATTCAAACAGGGAATTGGCATTAAATGAGGCATGCGTGTACTCGTATGCATACATGTATGGAGTCCGAGATCTTCCAGTGCTGCAACCAACCCCCCTCCCCCACTCCACTTTTCGAATTTTCTGAGCTGGTGTGGTGGTCCGGTGTCGTGAGCTACCACACTTCCCCAATTGAAACAGTGCGTATACATGCCTGAATTAATTACTGGCACCAGTATACAGCACGTGCACATGCTTCGCGAATAGACAACGCCAGAGATGAGGGGGGGGGGGGGGGAGTTGAACGAGCTGTTAAAATTAAATTCTTATAATGGAGTCTTACCGAAGAAAGTATCAATGTTGGGCAGCATCTCTCTCCATTGGTTGTCCTTGGCCACTACGTCACCCAGGTCATAGATAATGAATGGATCTTCCAAATCCTGATGAGAGACCGATATGTCACAGTGTATTATAAGGGTAACATCTGGGCCAATCCCATCCCGCTATCAATTATATCGCGAAGGTCCAATTCAATGTCGAAGGCGCGTGTAGTAGCTTTTGTTCAGATTATCCGCCCCGGGCATTTGATTTGTACACGGACGGTCACAATGGTTCGGCCATCAGATACGTCCATGAACAATTTGTCACGGCTGTACGTATTTTGGTCAAGTGACCCTACTTCGAAGGTCCACCACACAGTTCAATCAAAGCATGCTGACTATTTTACATTGCATGTGTCTCATACGTAACATCGGTGGCTTCAAATTCACGTTACACCATGGGATGAAGAATTTTAAACGAACGTTTGTTTGCAGTTTTAAGAGTTACTGTAAAATGATAATTGCGCCCTCTATCTTACCTCCCTTTCTGGCTCCGCTTTGACCTTGATCCTCTCCAGTGCGATTTCCCGAATGGTGGTTCCCTTGTCGTAGAGGCTCAGTCTAACTGTTGGGGTTGCAAGCAGCTCCATACTGGAATCAGAACGTTCCCGAAGACTAAATGCAAGTCAGAATAAAAGAAAGAATTACAATGAACAGGACTTAATGTAATTGGCCATTTCATTTTCATTTCACTTACTTAGTTCGCAAGTTAAAAAGGCAAAAAAAATACACAAATTACATACACTACAATAAAAAAAAATGCAGAATTACACACCAATTGCACATTAAGTGACACAAGCACAGCAATAACTCACTTCCAAGATCACGAGGAAAAAATATTAAGTAAATACAAATAAATAAACCAAAAAGAGAGAGAGAGAAAAACACGCAATGCCCCAACAAAAACACAAGTAGAACCCTTGCAGGATAAACACAAAATAAACTAAATTACTATAAAGTTGGTATCCTAATACTAATTTGAAAAAAAAAACATAACAAAGCAGACAAACACATCGAACCTACAAAGGTCATCGCCAAAAATATCATCTCAGACAAACCTCACCAAATCTTCATAAAGGATGTGTGCTGCTTGGAACAAAATGTCTACCAACTATTCGTGTCATTTCAATAGGCACCTGCAAAATCCTAGAAAAGAGCCTAACTTATTTTGGGTTTCATTTGCGTGCAAATATATGTATCCAGCAGGAACTGTAATTTTCGTGAGCTGCAATTTGGGCAGGCCTCACACTTTAACATTCATTAAAACATAATTATTAGTAAAGAAAGAACAGGTGAGAAAAAGAAATGAGATAAAACGTTCATGTCTCCTCTCTCTCCAAAAAAAATCACATCCCGCAAGGTTCATATTTATCAGCTCGGGCCGGAGCTTTTACATGTCACTTTGTGGTCAGTCGGTTTGTCTGTCTGTCCCCAGAAAATTGACGAAAATAAGAACCCCCAAGCTTCCCACAAAAATATAACTACCACATTATAATTTTACAGAAATCAAGTAAAATCAAGTAAATAGTCAACAAAATATTGTTAGTTGACATTTTTGAAAAGTTGTAAAATGGAGGCAAAATATCGTCACCATTTTCACGAAGAGGCGAATTTAGTATTCCACTGTCGAACAACATTCGAGATAATCGCGTTTAAAGTTTGTCCTTTTTTATTTGACAATTTGAACTTAAAGATGCATAAAATATGCAAGGTTTAGGTATCAGAGGAAAGAAGAGCTTCTAATCTTCCTAAATTTAGCAAACTTTAATAAAAATAGGTGATAAGTTTGGCAGAATTAATCAATTAAGAGAAGTGGTTGTTTGTGAAAACGAAAAAAAAAGACCAATTAGCAAATTCGCCCCTTCGTGAAAACGCTAAAGTGACTACACGCATATTTCGCCCTTCTGCGGTCTGAGTCAATGCGTTTTCTGTACACTACGCGCAGATTCTGCCCCACTGCGCATGCGCCTTGAAATTCGCCCCTTCGTGAAAACGGTTTATTGCACGCGCATGGAATTCGCCCCTTCGTGATATACGCGCCATTGTATTACAATGTATCTATTTACTGAAAATGAATTAGTACCATAGAGTGCGGAAATTCGCCCCTTCGTGAAACTGCAAAACGGCACTTTTGGCAAATTCGCCTATTCGTTAATTAGGTTAATTAAGATTATAATTAATTTTTTGAAAGTATAACCTCACCAGGTTGTAGACATTGATATATTTATTCATTTTCATCAAAAAAAAAACAAATTTCGAAAAACAGACGATTTTTATGAAATTTGTCCCTTCGTGAAATCGGTGACGATATGTGCAGTAATGTAGTCCCGTGGTATACAGCGCACTATACCACGCGAAAAAGGCAAGGTATATTCTATGGGAAACTAAGGGGCTTATTTTCGTCAGATTTCGATGACAGACGAGCACAGCGGAATTTTCACGTGGGAAGCGTCACCGGCGTGGATGAATGGAGCCTGGCGTGCCATGCTTGGGCGTCACACTTTTTTTTTTCAGCTTTGACAGGAATCATTTTTATAGATTTCATGCAAGACTTTCATGCAAGACGGTCAGTGCTTATTGTGCACTCGCACTGGTATCTTCATATTAGCAGTGTTACAATTGCTGCTCCCTACCACTATTACATGCTTTCAACAAGAAGATTGTATAAAGCCTCAAAATGAGAATTAAGTGAGAGACAACGCCACACTTCCGCGTTCCTCAACATAAAAATATAAAAAATCCCGCCATTTGGAGGCACGTATTTCCAAACCGTGGCAAATCCTCCTACTACAGAAATCCATCTCCATTGCCTAATAATTCTCTACTCTACCTGGTTTAGACCAACAGCCAATGCAGTCACGAGTCCCTGTTGTGTAGTGATCTGACTGACTGGAGATTCCTCACACGACCCTTACTTAAAATACCATCCGAGAGTTTGGGCAAATATAAACAGCCTAGGCGTTATTGTGATGAAAGTAAGCGACTCTCCTAGTTAAGCTCGGGAGACAACGTGAGCTGCATCATGCAGCGATTATATTTTGTGGGTCATGTCTTCCACACAGGTCAATAATATTGAAAACCAACAAAACAAAACTGAACTCGAGGGGAAAAGGATAAACACGTCGTTTGTGCGACAACCATTCTGTGCACAGTCGTTCCACACGAATTGAAAGGAGCCTTTGTAATTTGTGCGAGAATTCTTTGCCACAAATTAAAACCGAGCTAGGTCAGCGATTTCTTTCATTATTCTTGCTAGGTCAATAATATTGAAAACCAACAAAACAAAGCTGAACTCGAGGGGAAAAGGATAAACACGTCGTTTGTGCGACAACCATTCTGTGCACAGTCGTTCCACACGAATTGAAAGGAGCCTTTGTAATTTGTGCGAGAATTCTTTGCCACAAATTAAAACCGAGCTGGGTCAGCGATTTCTTTCATATTCTTGCTAGAGGCAGTCGATAATTATTCACGGAATGCAAGTTATGCAACTACTAATAAAGAAACCCGAAATATAACCTTTGGATGACCTTGTCGTAGACTTGTACACAAAACAATCCGAACTTTAATGACAATTATTACCCCCGACCTAAACTTAACATAGCGTCACAAAACAGAGGCGTGGCAAGGTTGTTTTGAATGGGGAAGGGGTCGTGAAAAGGGCACACGCACATCTGTGCTGACACGTAGACTGCGTGTGTGTGTGTGGGGGGGGATCATGCACACTATCTGACAATAGATGGCGCTTTTCAAAATTTCAGGGCGGCACAATTGTGTGGGGGGAGTTGTAAATGCTGGTGAAAAAAGGGCACTTGAATGGAGAAGGTCAGTCTTACAAATTCTTATAAACACCCCCTTATTACCCTGCTGGCTACGCCTCTGCCAAACTTTGTAGATGCAGGTTTGCCATCACAAGGAAGCGATTTAGTCTATTTGCGACGTGAACAATAGGACTTGAAACATCAGGTAGACATTGAAATGTCTCCATACTCAAAAGACATTCAATGTCTCGCTAAAACGTGTCTCACTAATGGACCACTTGCGAGAATAGTTGTTACCGGTGTTATCGATTTCTATACCACTGAACCAAATTTAATTGTGAAACGGAGGCATGTTACGATAAGCGCCCATGGGCGTCGCCAGGATTTTTTCTAGAGGGGGGCAAAAAAAAAATTTGCCCCAAAATGCTTGTATTTCTCAACACATTCTCGATTTATCAGTTCTAGAGGGGGGCAGGGACATTTTGCCCCCCCCCCCCAACTCATTAAATTTACACCACTTTGTCTTCGCGCCTCTTTTTCTTTTTTTTTTTTTCTTTTCTTTTCGTCCTTTTTTTTTTTTTTTTTTTTTTGCTTTTCCAGGGGGGGGGGGGGGCAAGTGCCCCCCCTTGCCCCCCCCCCCCTCGCGACGCCCATGTAAGCGCCGGTAAAGTTAGGGGCATCATCGTAGACCTCATGACAAGTAGGGCATTGAACAACACATTGGTGTATCGGTGAAGAAGATTTACCTACGACAGCTACAATTAACTCCGGTTTGACTTGTGTTTAAAGCAAAGTCGAAAGGTCCGCATTTAGCCTGGAAAGTACCTACCGATTAAATGACAGACGCCTTGCTCAAAGTGGAAATAGGACTTGAATCAAATACTGTGTAAAATGGTTCCGGCTGAAATAGTATCGTTTGAAGAAAACTAACAATGGAAGTTTTTTTTTCAAAATCGGGTGTCCGCAGCCACACACTTTATTTACAATCAGAAACGGATTCCAGTAACGAGATCTAGATACTTGTCTTTACGTTTTTCCTCTTTTTTCTTCAAAACGTACATATTACCGACCGAGCTAAACAATATTTGTCTAGTTTATTACTTCAAAAGAAAATACAAGAAAAGCTAAAAGGAAACTGGTCGTATGCACTATAAAAGATACTGACTGAATGCATCGCTTAATGCCATGGGGCTCCAAATTAATAAAGGCAATGCAAAGTGGTTGGGAACTTCTTTCCTTGATGATACTTGAACTCTGTAGGCAACACATATTAGGCCTAACTAGCATCAGCACATGCACATAGAGACTAATGAATACCAAGTATGTTTGATGCATACATCGAGTGGAATGATATCCATGTTTTACTTACAGAACCAGCCGATGACCCTAAAGTGTAAAGGTTGCCGTCGTTTGATCAAACCAGTCCACGGCAGCTATTTTATAGACCAGTTCGCTGAACTAAACATTTTCTTGCAACGTATATAGCTTGTAAGCGATTGGCCACAAAATTAGACGTTCTAGTAGTGCATTGACGATGCATGGACACGAGGACGAACAATTGTATGCAAATTCTCAAGGCGTTTTTGGCAGGTCAAATGATGGGCTTTAAGGCTGCAGGCATCTCATATCAATTTTGTCTTTGGTCATACATGTACTCTGTGGGTGACGATTAATTTAACAGTACTGTTATGGCCGTGTGGCAGCGCGGTATGGCATCGACACCACGAACAGATAGACAGTTGAAGACCGGTTTGCAGAACATAACCAATCTTTAACCTATCTTTAATTAAAACAACTCAAGCAACTTAACAACTTGTTCGAATACAGCTTCGTCTGCCCGAGCATCCCGACGGCACGTCGAGGGACACAGACACCGCGTGCCCGGAGCCCAGCCCTTTTATAACGCACAGAGTAATAAGAGTTATATAACAAAGTATGTTAAGAACTCCATTACGCGAAGCTCGTAGCAAATTAACAAAAGGACAAAAATGTGGGCCGGTTGAGATAGCGTCAAAACAGTACCAAAAGAATGAAGATAGGAATGAACACAATTTGCAAAAAATGCGAAGTAACCTTGAGACTCAAACTTCTGTAGTCGGTATTGGTATAGTTTGTGAAGTCAGGGACAGCTAGGCCTGGGGAGAAAATAAGTAGGCCTAGTACATAAAATCAAGCCACAAAATGTCAACATTTAATTGAATGCTAAAAGAACGTGTCCACCAATTATGGAGAAATATCTTGCAGAACTTGCTCTTTTATATTAAAAGCCAAACGAATAACGAAATGTTCACTATTCGTTTGGATACTAGCCCAGATAAAGGGACGACGAAATCATTATCTATGAACATACAGAGAGAACATAACCTAGGGGACTGAAAGTGTCGGAAAACATTTATGATTTACACAAACAAGCTCATTATGAACTGAAGAAGAATGTTTAAACATTCCTTGGGAGTATGCATCCGTCGTTCCATGGCAACGATGCATTAATGAGGGCTAGTATAGAAGAGGCCAGAGGCCACGGATAGACAACCTCACAACAATTCATTAATACATGCTGCTTCTAACACTATGCATTTAATGTACTCCAGGGTTGTAGATTAAAGAGGTATGTGCACACACAAAAAACACACACACAAAGTGTAACTCCCAGCTTCCAAAGGTGAACACAAAATGGGCTTATTTTGCTTCAGTTTGAAGCAAAACAACATTTTTTTCTTTATCAATATTAAGTTTTGCCCTACACCGACGCATAAACACTGTACACTCAATGTGTTACCGCCCGAGTGAAAGTTGGAAAAAAAAATCACTCGGTGGGACTCGGGTGTAGGGCAAAACCTAATATAGATTTACATCACCCCGACGCAAAAAAAAGAAAAAAAATCCATCTGATTGATAGTTTTTTTTTAACAAAAATTATGAAGTTCAAATCTGAAGCTGGGTTGTATATTCAAAACAAGCATGCAAAAAGACAACGCAATAATGGACATTAACTGCGATATCTACCATAATTTTAGTGAAACAAATTTTAAATATTTCTATTTACCAACGGATATAATTTTAAAAGGGTTAAGTAGATCGGATTGTTGATCATGTAGAGCCAGAAATTGTCATGCAGTGATGTCACACGACGACATGACTTTGTCGATAGACCTTGGAATCATCTTTCAATATACCATTTTAATTCACTGGATAATTATAGATCTAACTAACATACATTTAACATGAGCAAATCCGAAGGAACATGACTCAAAACGTGGAGATTTACGTTTTTGATGCACATTATCGCGCATAGGTTTGTACAAATAATGAACTGTTGACGCTCTTGAGGCCTACAAAGAACGAGGGTCATTGAGTACGTCAGGGTGCACCCCAGTATAAAAAAAAATCCCATAGACACTAGCGATAAGTCCCAAATGCTTCATTTGTTTTTTAAATAAGAACTCTTAAAAGTGTTCCGGCATTTCTCAAATGCTTTAATCGGCCAATGTCCTATCGGACCTTTGAATATTTGTGCACATTTTTTTTGCAGATCCGCCCTTGCTGACGCCTTTGAAATGCTGTTGCCTCCCTCCCCACTAGGTTCCGCCCACTGACACAAACCCATACCCAATCTCCATACTTCAAAATTCCTTTGAAAATATTCAACACTCTCACAGGTATTCCAGCTGCAGAGAAAAATGATGATCTATATGTCATCTTCCATGTTCTTTTCCATTTTTGGTGGATAATTGATTATTGACTTTTGGAGAAATTCTCACCCAAAGAAGACCACTCCTAAAACGAATGATGTTTCTCAAACTGGAAAAGTTGCCATTTTTAAAAAGGATCCTTCCACAACATGGCTAAATTGCGCCGCTTTCGGACCCAATTACATCCAAAATGCTCAGAATTGGAAGCCCCAAGTCCAGGCCAGAGGTGCAGTGTCATATGTCTTCGATTTCCCAATTGCATGGCTCTGAGAATTATCTAAATATGGAATAATTTGAGTGTATAACTTTTATTCAGTAGCTCGGTGGACGAATTGTTGGCCTATATACGTGGGTGTACCGGTCTTAGCTGGCAATGGATGAGGTCATGCTGTGTTTCTGCAGGGTTCGCTTCGCGCGCTTATCTCATAAAGCAGTGTACGCAACGTGTGCATAATTGTCATTCGAACGTGCACAAACCTCGATTCGTCTTGTATACCCTTTGGTGAAACCCTCATTTCGTTCAAATTAAAAACACAGTGACATTTCTATCTTTTGTTTTGTTTAGAGTTCGTTGTTTTCTATCCAACAAAAGCCAAAACGAGCATAGTTATATAGTAACCTTTGAATTTGTATCACTTTAAGGCAACAGTCTTACGTCACCAATCAACATAATATACGAGAATAGGTAATGACTAAATCATTATTCTAGCTGATCCTCTCTGACCTTGTTAAACATATATCGGTTAAATGAATTATTAAAATACGTTTTACTGCTACCACTCAAGTGACCTTTCCGCATGTTATGATACAAAGGTTTGAGAGTGTTTAATATTCCTCCATATCTTCAAAATTCTACTAATGAGACCGGGTCGCATAAAACATGTTCAAAACTCAAGACAAATTAGGTTTATTTTAAGACATTTGATTTAGATAGTTACCTTTTCGTCAATGTTTAGCCTACTTCCATGTATCAATGTATTTCACGTAATATTATAAATGTGAGCAAATAATATCGAAAAAAATTAAATGCTCAGGCCGCTCCCGGCATGCACTCGGTATAGACTATCTCCTGGCCGCCATTGATGGTAACGGTGACGTCATTGCAGCCGTGCGGTGCAGTGCCCTCTTCGTCAGCACTGGTCATGCGGTAGAGCCGGAAGCACATTTTGACGTTAGCGCCCCCGCACGCCTTCTCCAAAGCACAGTGGTTGACATCCGCGTCCGCTGGAAAGTCAAACATTATTCGTTATCGGCACCATGAACTGACACGTAAAAACCACGTAATCAACAATTTCGGTTTCACGATCTGACATCTGGTAGGGCGCGCGCACATCGACATAACGCAAAAAAGGAAGATATTTGTTTTCACGAACTGACACTCAGGCATGATGCGGCAATACAGAACGGAGAAAAAGGGTTTGAAAGGTATTACACGAATTATATCCATCCGTATACTTTTGTGTTTACACAACAATTTAATTTAAAAAAAGTTGTAATTTGTGAAATTAAGGTCAGTGTCCGTTCGTGTAACCGAAAATGTACTAGTTGCGCTCTAAAATACGCACGCGTGCAGCGCACTCACGCGCGACTGAGTGTCAGTTCGTGGTGCCGATGACGAATTGGCAACCCTTTAAAGCCCGGTTCATACTTCACGCGAGAGCGAATGCGAAGCGAGTTTGACGTCATGAAGCATTCGCTGCGAAATTCGCCCAAGTTGAAATATGTTCAACGTTTACGAATTCGCAGCGCGAATACTTGCCATGACGTCCCAAATTCGCGTTCGCTTTCGCGCCGAGTATGAATCGGGCTTTTGAGGTGAAAAAAAAACGTCCGCGAGCATGTTGCACGCGTTCTGAAAGACGAGGCGCGCGCGCAATTTGGTAGCCCTATTGTTCAAAGGAGTTCTGGATTGCGTGCCAACTCAGAAAATGGCTGTCGCGGAATTAGTCCATACATGTGCTTGAACCGTACTGTAATGTTGCAAAATGTAAAACTATATAAAATAAGGCGGAATCCGAATGCCTGTATATTGAGCGGGGCAAGTGTATGCTCAGAGCAGTTACAATGTACGTATATAACTTCTAGGAACGTACATGTAATACCGTCATCTTCTGAGGGGCACGTTTTGTCTAATGGGAGAGCATAGGACTCATGATCGTGATATTGTGGGTTCGAGCCTCGCCGTGGCCATGCGTGTTGCGCCCTTGAGTAAGATGATTTACCTCAATTACCCCTTTCAACCCAGGTGTTAAATGGGTACAGGCATTATTCAATGCTGGGAAGGTAACAGACTCGTTGTGGAGGAGGAGGTGTGGCAATCCCCCCACAGAAGCATTTCATGGACTCGAGTCTGGCCCAATCGCTTCGAAAGAGAGATGGGCACACCGTTCCTGTGAACACAGGTTCGTCCCCTTTGATTGGTATCTCAACTGTTTTTGACAGTGTAGCTTTAGTATTTAAATGTATTTATTGTATATCACCTTACTTAAATGTTACGAAAAGAATGTGATGTTGAATGTGATGTTGCCATGCACGTGATGAAACTTACGGTTCATATTGCCTTGGGCGAAGAAAATGTCCCCGTTGCATTTGACCTCAACATCCACACCAGCGGTTTGTGGAAGGTACTTCATTGCCATGGAGGCAGTCACTGAAAAGAGGATGAATACAGGAAAACCGTAGAGCCATAAACCGCAAATCCCTTAAGTCGTTGATTAAAACTCTCCCATACTAAGCATCATAAACGCAAGATCGAGGACAGTTTTGAACAAAACATGAACGATCGAGATCAACAAAGAAATTGTTGTTCTCCCTTTATCTGTCGATCCTCAGGGTGAATGTAGAGTTCGGCCATGTACTCTTGTTTTACCATACTCCCGAGGACAATGCCTTGTGTTTTCATTTGTCCCTGTAATATAACACTCTCCCTTAAACAAAACACAAACAATTACTACGGTGGACCATTTTGAACAAAAGACCCAACTCCTGAGGACCCAAGGGATCTGTTTTTCTCCCTTTGGGTGTCTGTCCTCGGGGGTTATGTAAAACAAGTACACCATGACGTGCCTCATTGTAGAAAATGCACACATGCTTACAAACCCCAGGGTGGCGTCCTACCCGACTTCCGCCATTATTATTCGGTCGACTGTGCTCTTAAAAAAGATATAAACATTTTGACATCCAATTAGAGTTTCAGATGCTCAGACTACAGCATACCGTACTTTTCATTTTATTATACAAACTAGACAGAGGGCGCTGTTGGCTTACGCACAGTGGTATTTGAAGAGCATTTACAAAGCTCGGCTTCTATCTGGCGTCGTTTTCATCTTCACAAATACTCTGATTTAGAATTTAGTCAGTGGCCTTGTGGGGCCCATGTGCATTTGTTGGTACAATATTTGAAACTCTAAGGATACCTCAACAAGTGCAAAACCACTTGATGCCATCTTGTTATGACCCTTTTATGGTCGGGGCCATGACATTAAAAAGTTAGGGGCTTCGCGCGCTATTCAAATAATTTCACTTTTCTTATTATGTTATGAAATATTATGTTAACAGAAAATCAAGCTGTAGCGGGCAATCTTTGTGTTTTCTTTTCAATCCAGAATGGTGGACGGGGGTGGATATAATGTTTTCATGTCAAATCATAAACTTTGTGTTCCCCTTTGGGGGCGTGTCACAATTTTGTCACAAACGGGGGGTGCATCTTGCATATGAACCAAACATAACCAGTTCAACCCAAACTGAGATTATTTTTAATTCAAGACATTAACTAAACAAATGTATGAAGCTGAATATTGTTTCCCTGAAATGTTCATGGTATGTCTTTGTTTTTAATTGTTAGACGTAGAACTAAACTTTTCAAAATAGTTCACATAACAGGCCACATTAATTTTATGTCCGTTTTGGGGGGTCTGAAATCAGCCAAATAAAAGTTTATATTTCTATACATTTGTAAATGTATCTAAATTGCTATATGTTAATTTTGATAACTGAAATTGCCACTCAAATTTGATCGTAACATCAAATGTACACATGTTCTGCTTTTGTGTCCATTCCCGGATTTTCTTTTCTTGAATATACCCTAAAGTTTCACGTTTATGTCCCGGATTTGCTTCAAAGAATAGACGGCGTTCCAGTTCTGTTTTGTTCTGTTAGCTAAACAATACAGCAGGGAACATTTGAGTGTAAGGACAAAATCGCATTTGTTATAATTCCCCTTTTTTTTTTATAGAAAATTGTATTTCCCCTTAACATCTTTCACTGCTTAGACTGCCAAGGCAAAATTCAGAAAACAAAATTGACATGAGTTTGGATTAATGTTGCAGTATATGAAAATTTCATTTCCCACCCCCCCCCCCATTATGAAAGGTGTCCCCGCCCCCAAAAAGAAATGATGTTGTCAATTTTAACTTATAATTTTATATTCAAATTGTTCATCTGTTGCACAAAAAATCTTCATAACTGACTCTCCTGTTGGGTTAATTTCGCCAACTTTTCCATAGGACGACCCGCCCACAAAAAAAGTCAAGGAAAATGGGTATTCAATTGCCCGTTCTTCATTTTGGGCTCAAAAACAATACCCTGGCGGCCACTCTTCTTGGGTAGGAATAAAATGGCATCCTGTGGAATTTGGGTTTTATAGTGTTTCGTTAATTATCCCTGAAAGTTTCAAAGAATGTAGTCCCCAAAATTGCATATGGCAGATGATTTTTGACCATAGGCCAACTGACTAATTGTATTGGCCCCACAAAAAAAAAACGATTTGCGGTTTCCAGAGCTGATCATTCAACCATTTAAGTCGGAGACAAAAAGAACGCCAGTGCTTTTTTTCCCCAAAAAAACTGAATTGAGGACGAAGGTAATGTGTTAAAAATCAGCTAAGCCTTGAAAGTCATTTCAAATTGTTGGCTTGGTCTTGCACTTTGGTTTCACTTCAAGTTCCAGACTCACTAAAGAGCATTCAGTATCAAAACAAAATTTTGCAAAAGGATCAGGTTTCATTCTACAGAACTTGATTGCCCTGCAGCAGGAAGTAGATCTACTTGAGCACAGGTTTAATAAGTCAAAGCCTAATATCCTTCCTCTGGGGACCATCGAAGCTAAGGTTTATAAAAAAAAGCTCGATGGGATCTCGGAAGCTGTGGGCCAACGAATTCCTGTTAATGCATAAGTCACGTGATTGTGCCATGCAATTTCTGGAAGTAGTGTTTTGTGTAACAATATTACACAAAAAAAGTTTAGATTTACCCCAATGACCCTATAATGACCTTTCTACCCCAGCGTCGTCATGTGAAAAGTTGGGGCTGGTCTACTTCTTTTTGAAAAAAGAAATCAGTAAAAATATGTAGGAGCAATATGCAATGTTTGTTACTAACTAACGTAGTAACGGAGAGACACGAGGATTTAATGAGCTGTTGTCCACCGCTAAAAACAGACTACTTGAACGCAGACATCTTGATCTTAATTATTCATTGTCAAACCGTTGAGGGTAAAATGAAAATACGGTGAAGGTTTTAATATTGCGGTTGGTTTAACCCTAAAGGGGCCGGGGAGCGGAATCCGCCCCCCCCCGACCTTTTTCGCGACAGCCTTTAAAAAAAAAATTTTCGCGACCCGAGCTGTTATGACTTTTCAGCCTCAAGCCTTGCACAGTTATTGACACCAGAAACATAAAAATCGGACCAGGGGTTGTCTCGCAGCGAAACATTTTCCAACGCTATGCGCCGTGAAAACTAAATTTTCCCATATACGTCGTGTACACAAACCAGCATTACCATTCGTACATATGAATAATTAATTAGCCATAATTCCAAAACCCTATGACCTATAGTCATGACATTTCTTGGGTATCTTTATGAAGAGTTGCTCTATGCATGTACTGAGTTTCAAAATGTTTCGTAACTCGATGGCCGAGATCTTACGGGGGGGGGGGGGAATCCCCCCCCCCCCCGCTGAGAGATGGTCAAAATAACCCGGCCCCTTTAGGGTTAACGGCAACAGATTGGTTCCAAATGTGATGAAATACTATTAGATGTATATCTTGTATACATACACACCATCCGTGCACATGGCCAAATTGAGTTAGATGCCGAATAAACCAGGCACCTTTTCGAGGAACAGAATTGCATCACTTCATGATCAGACCAGTGCAACTTTCAAGTGCATGTTTGAAAATGGAAGTTTTACCTCCTGTTGCAATCTTGCCTTGGCACACGCAGTTGACATGAGTATCACTGGTGCATGTGCAATGCTGGAATATACCATCAGGATCTGCTCCATCCAGGGAACCAGGCGATTTCACTGAAGAAAAAAAATAAGAGAACAACTGATATTAAAGGAAGAGCATTGAGAAAATCAAAATATCACCAGATATTCACTATGGATGGTCCTATTTGGTTAGCAATAAGGATTACCTGATTAACCATGGACTATCAAAAGTTGAAAGATTTCGATTTCCTAAACATATTTTGTTTTTCCCCACACTTTGTTATCAGCGGTGTATGTGTGGCTCCAAATGCAGAGGAAGTCTAGTGTTTGGGCCACATGTATTGTGGTTAACGGAGGTAAGTGTGTATTTGCCTGCAATCGAGGACCCCTTTTGTCCCTATTTTGTTTGTAGGTTAACTTTTTAGGAAGACTTCCCATATGTTTTGTACACGATCGCCAAATTGGGGACCTTTGGGAATTGGGGACCATATTGTTTCTTACTATTCAACGCCCCCTATGGAATGCAGGAACAAATTTAAACCAACCCAACCAAACATAAATATACCCAAACAAACCCACCAAAGTCCGTGTTTGCCTGCAATCGGGGACCCCTATTGCCCCTCTTTTGTTTGTACTTGTAGGAAGACCCCCTATATGTTTTGCACACTACCGTAAATTGGGGACCTTTGGGAAATTGAAGACCTTATTGTCCTCTTTAATGTTCAACGTCACCTATTGAATGCAAAAACAAACTCATACACACCTAACGGAACCGAGCCAAGTCCCAACCAACCTCAACCAGAAGTAACCATCCCAACCCAACCCAACTGAACCCAACCAAACCATCACCAACCCCATGCCTACCCCACCAAACCAAACCGAACCAAACCCATCCGAACGAACCAAACAGAGCCAAACTTATTTACACCCAACCAAACTCAATCAGAAGTATCAAATCCTTTCAAACCAACCACACTCGACCCCAAACCAACCCTCCCTAATCAAAACCAATTCAAAACTATCCTAACCTACCCAACCTTCCAAAGCGCAGCCAGGCAAGACCGCGAATATTTTTTTCCCAAAACGAGACCCGACAATATCAAAAGTGAGCGCTCTCTCTGCATTATGTGAATATTCATGATGTCCAGGGCTTTAGAGAATAAACGAGGAATAATGGTGTTTAAATCACCGACGATTTACAGCTGATTCGTGGACTGTTTGGAAGGGTTCGAACCCCAGTGAGCAATATTTTTTTCTTCTCATATTACCTTTTACATACCTAAAGTGAAGAAGGAACATTTCTCGCAAGATGCAAAGCATATCTTGTGTTTGGGTTGTGGAGAACAAGGCATTGGATATGCATGTAATGGAACCCAACCAACCAACCCGATCTAAGTCCGTCCAAATCCAAATGCAACTCAATCAAACGCTCCAAACCTATACCACCCCTACTGCTTCTTGGCCGAAATCCTACTGGCTCAGAAACGTGGACCGTACTTACCATGTTGTTGTCCCTGGAGCTGCTGGAAAACCTTCGTTCTTTTGTCCATTGAGCCAGACACAATCTTTATCTTTTCAGTAGCAGACACCTGTGAAAACAATTGCAAATGCTACTAGTCTTCAGATATCGTTCAGTGTATTCAGATCATAGAGCTATATCATATTACTAGAGCGCTAGCTCATGTACAAATTGATGCCTGCTGGACGCATCCATGTTTGTACACAAACCTATGGAGAACTAAAATTATGTACGTATTTTGTCCGTCTATAGACATATACGTGGTTGTATTCCATACCGGTGCGTCATCGAAGCCGATACGCCCAAAACTGAAACGCACGATCAGCAAATGAGCGTGTAATTTTGCTCCACGCAAACAGCGCAACGTGTGCGCGTGCCTCCGCTGCAGATGCTTTTCGCCGTGATGTTTTTGAACCGTCATGACGCGCTTAAGTTGTTTGCGTATCGTCTACTAGCGCGTTGCATTTAGAGTACACTTTTAAAATTCAATCCATCTATGTTGATTGTGTTCTACAAACACGCACACGAATTCAAAATGTCTGCGCCCAGAGCGGCTTCAAAGCTTCTCCGCGCGCAAGAATGAAGAGTTACCGCTCTATTAATCTAACTTAGCTCTGTACGATTCAGATACACATGTAGTGTGCATGCAATGTTGCGTTTTCCATACTATACAGGGTGTTTCAATAAAAAGGAAATCCATCTTTGAATAACCGGTATGGTCAGACTACATGTTTACTGGCTATAAAACTGGTATCATCTGAAAGCGTAATCTCTATGCTTTTCAATGATACCTTGTTTACATTTCCAGGGTCATGCATCACTGAGCGCCACTGTCATGAGATTTTGATGCAAAATTGCAGTTGGTTCACTTTCATGTCAAACACAATAAGTATTCAAGAAGAAGACACGAGTGCATTAAAAGAAACCAAAAAAAGGCTGGATTTTATTGTTCGTGATGAATTTCTCGTTTTGACCAAGCCACGTTAAAGCTAGAGTCCATCATTTGTAGCCATCCAAAAAGTAACTGGCGTAATTACAACGGTGATTCTTAAGAAGCACCCGTAGGAAAATTTAAATTAGTAGTTCGTTTTGTTATTCATCGCAGCGCGCACAAGTATTGGAACGACGCACACGCGCGCGCGGTTGTTGTAATTCGTCGGATCAGTGCGTGACGTCGCGTATAGCTGCAATTCAAAACAATTCAAAACATGATTCAGTAACTTTTGATTTGAAATTGAGATCTTAGAATGCTGTTTTTCTCGGAATGAACAGCTGAAGCTTAGCTGAAACTTCATCAGGTTAGTTGCTCAGTATCCTTCATTAGATTTTGAACTCTTTTGTTGCTTCAAACGAACAAAATGCACAAATTACAAATGATGGACTGTAGCTTTAAAAAAAATTCTGCCATTTCCCCCGAGGATTTACATTCAAGCCATTTCACAGACATTTCCGTAGTGGTGTTAACATTTCCGTAACAATAGGCACACCGTGCCAGTGTTTTTTTTTAAATAAAAGTGAACCAACTGCATTTTTGCATCCAGTTTTCAAGACAATGATGATCACTGATGAATGACTCAGAAAACCTAAACATGGTTTCATTGAAAAGCATAGAGAGTACGCTTTCAGATGATACCAGTTTTATAGCCAGTAAACATATCGTCTGTCCATACTCATTCTTTGAAGTTGGGTTTCCTCTTTTTTTTTAAACACCCTGTATTGAGAATAGTGTTACAATGGAAATTAAGCCCCCACAAATGAGCCAAGAGATTTAGCTGTCTCTATTAGTTAGTTGGACGAGAGGCTGAAAACGCTTAGTCTTTTAGATAGACATCTAGGTCAAGGTGTATCCTCTCGGGGAAAAAAAAGCGTTCACCGATTAGTTTGATCTGGGGTTTAGGCCAAAACAAGTCCCCCGTTTCTGGTATGGAGCTTGCCTCAAAGGTGGTGCGGCGACGCCCAGAGAGGCCACATAAAGCTTATACTCGATCGTAACCCCATCTAAAAACACGTTAAAATTGTGCAGCAGCAGGATTCCAGTCAAACCAGTGAGTTTGGCGGTTTTGAGACATCATCTTGCATTGAAAAATACATAATAATTGTGTCGACGCGCATGGCTACGGCGACGCGCGCGCATAGCAGAAACCGGAGACTTTTTTTTAGCCTGAACCATACCAATATTTTTTTTTATCTTAAACCTTGATTATGTTCAGTTCAACAAAACTGTAATGAAGATTGTATGGCATCCTGGAAAGAAATGACACAAATGTAGAATGTACATGTAATATACAGGGTGGTTCAAAAAAGAAGAAGAGGAAACCCAACTTCAAAGAATGAGTATGGACAGACGATATGTTTACTGGCTATAAAACTGGTATCATCTGAAAGCGTAATCTCTATGCTTTTTAATGATACCGTGTTAAGGTTTTCTGAGTCATGCATCACCGAGCATCATGGTCTTAAAAATAAGATGCAAAAATGCAGTTGGTTCACTTTCATAAAAAAACCCATTGGGCACGGTGTGTCTATTGTTACGAAAATGTCTGTGAAATGGCTGGATCTTGGCCATCGAGTGACGAGAAATTTTGAAACTCACTACATGCATAGAGCAATTCTTCATGAACATACCCAAGACATTTCATGACAATAGGTCAAAGGGTTTTGGAATTATGGCTAATTAATTATTCATATGTACGAATGGTAATTCTGGTCTGTGTACACGACGTATATGTGAAAATGCAGTTGGTTCACTTTCATAAAAAAAAACCAATGGCCACGGTGTGCCTATTGTTACGGAAATGTCTGTGAAATGGCTGAAATGGTAATCCTCGGGAAAATGGCACATTGTTTTGAACGTGGCTTGGTCAAAACGAGAAATTCATGACAAACAATACAATCCAGTTTTGAAACCAACCCGATATGTGTTTTGGTTTCTTTTTATGCACTGGTGTCCTCTTCTTGAATACTTATTCTCATGCACACCATGCCTATTGTGTTTGACATGAAAGTCAACCAACTGCTGCAGTTTTGCATCAAAATCTCATGACAATGGCGCTCAGTGATGCATGACCCTGGAAATGTAAACAAGGTATTGTAGGAGAATGACTGTAAGTGTAATTTTGCTTTGATTAAGATTCATGATTAATCACGAGAGGGGGCTATATCACTGCTACGGTAACGGTACACGATATGGGTGCATGATATTCTAAATATAGCGCACTGTTTCTGGGGCCTAGAAAGTGCGTGACCTCGGGTCAACTTTAGACAATGGGACCGGGCGTATCGTAGGGTCGTGCATTAAGTTGTCGTTTTGGGGGATAGGGTGGAGAAAAATGGCGTCCGAGTAGCAATGGGGAATCGCGTACATTAACAATCAGCCCGAATGGTTGGGGGAAGAAACAATCACCACAACTAATCTGACTGGAATCCGGAATCCGGAATCTTCTAATTCTCCTAATTAATAACAGAGTGTCGTCAAGAATAAAATACTACTGCTAATCTTTCGTGAAATCAACAGTAACCTGTGTCTACTGAGTACATCTTTTGCATCAAGACAGTCTTTGTCAATATAAACCCCGGAAACCCCGATTCCACACGGGATCAAATAATACTACAGTATCATTAAAAAGCATAGAGATTACGCTTTCAGATGATACCAGTTTATAGCCAGTAAACATTTAGTCTGTCCATACTGGTTCTTCAAAGTTTGGTTTCCTTTTTTATTGAAACACCCTGTATTAGAAGCATCATCTAGCAAGCACTCGTTGCGTGGGAAAATGTTTCTGACTATGTCAATAAAGGGCGCTGTTTCTTATGTTTTTTTTTGTGACGAATTATCGGCGTTTTTATCCCAGGGTTTCTCATTCCAAAGTAAACTGCGGATCGGGAAAAATATTTTTGTAAGGCCAAATACAAACAAAACCAACATGTTTATCGTCCCACCCACTTTCTGTTTGGAGGCCGGCTTCCCTTCTTTTTTTTTACCCGAAACAAAAATGATACATTTTTAAGAGTGACATCATCTTGGCCTCTTTGTTTGTTGCATCTAGCCCATATGCTAGTATGTCATTTCCGGAGTCCAAGTGGCGGCCATTAAAAAAAAAGCTGGCGGCCATCTTAAAAAGCAGCCCCGTCGTGCGGTCATTCTGAAGGGGAAAAGGCATCCTTTTTTTAAGGCAGGATGCTAAAGACTTTTTTACTTGGCCTAATAAGGTACACCATAATCTACGTGTCTATAAGTTTTATGAAATTTGGCGAACCAGACCGTCTGGGGATTGCTAAAAAAGGTCCTCCTCTCACGAAATATATACTGGGTCCTAAACGGACTCACCTATAGGAAAACTATTTTCCCGTTGAGAAGCACACTTTAAAGTCTGATTGCTCACACAAGGAAACTGTGTTGGTTTTCCTATGCCTAGTGTTGTATAATTTAAAGTATATTTAATACTGTTTTATCTCAACTGTTCCAATGTTCAGTCTACTTCCATGGATTCCAAGATTTAAAATCGGCAATTCCTTTGCAACCTACCTCCCGTGAACGCATCAGAACTGCAACCACACAGAGATACACGACGAAGGAATTCATATTTCTGGATGCTGGATGTATGTCTACTAACGCTGGATATATCTGTTCACTAGCTCGATTGACCTTACTGCTTCTCAGTGGTGTGGTAGAATTGTATTGTCTCGCTTTCTTTTGGCCCAAACGTGTATACCGCTCTTGGCCCAAAGGTTAACAGCAAATATGCCCTATATATATATGCCTTGATTTCGAGGACAGCTTAAAAGCAGTGACGGTATTCACTTTCTCAGCGTCTGAATGAAATCCATGCCTTACAAAGGAAGGCCGGACAGACCGGCTGAATTGAATTCCTTTCCTGCGTGGTTTCCTACCTGTATTATGGCACCGAAGTGAATCGTTTCCCAGTGACCCACATATAACAGGCAATGCCTTTGTGTACGTGTAAGCATAGAGCTAGGACCCAAGGGGTGAGAACTCTCGGGTGATTTTCATTTGCACCATTTACATTCCAATCCCTGAGGAATGTCCATAGCTAAAGCACTGTTACCGCAAGCTTGGACCATTCATTGCGTTACTACAAGCGGCTCTTGAAAACGATGATCGCCGCCGCCTTTTTATTTGGTAACAAACAACTCCTATATGCTGCATAATAAGTCATGTCACGTCGCTGCTTTTTTTTTTAAATATCTTTTTCGACAGGATATGTTTTAATAACTGCGCAGTTGATGTGAGTTATGAATTCAATATCGATGTGCAGTTGTTGGTCCTTGAGAGCGCTATTGGTCCCTGTAATCTGAAGATAAATTGGATGGTTTTTTTCCGGATAAGTTATGTCCTTTCGAACATTTTTTATGGGCAATACATCATTTGTGAAATGTGAGTACATGCATTTTGGGAAATATAAGTTTTGTAAGTTAAGTTTTGTAAGAAATGTAAGTTAAGTTTTCATTCTGTCACAGTGTTTTAGCTATAGACATTCCCGAGGGATTGGAATGGTAATGAACAAATGTAAAACCCCCGAGAGTTCTGGGTCCTAGCTCTATGGTTGCACTGTGTGAATAAAGGTCAGCTTCCAAAGAAAAATCTGAAATTGTTGAGCAAAAAAGAACAACTCCAGCGGATTGAGACAATGCAATGACGTGATGAAGAGGGTCGCTAGAGCAGTTGCGCAAGTACCCGCGGGGGGGGGGGGGGGGGGGGGGGGTTGTCATATGACAAGAGGTTGTCATATTTTTTTTTTTTGGGGGGGACCTTTTTTGTTAGTCCTAAGATTTTACCTATATGTATGTGGCCTATTTTTTTGTATAATAGGGGTGCAAGTGGCGCCACCAACGTCAAAAAACAGTCCCCCCCCTCCCCCGAAAAAAACTCCAATTTTTTTTTTGCGGCCAACAATTTCAGGCAACATTTTTTGGAAAAAAAAAAATGGGCCCCCTCCCAAAAAAAAATCCTGGGTGCGCCACTGCGCTAGAGGGGCATGGAGGTGTGCCCCCCCCCCCCCAATCGTTATGTCAGCAAAATCGTCGTTCTGTTGGCAAAATTGTCTGTCCACGTCTGGCAAAATTGTCTGCGGAGACGTATACAATGTGTTCACTTTTATGGACATGTCTCCACAAGGTACCGTGTATCAGATTGAGGTGTTTGAGAAACACCAACTTAAAGCCTACTTCATCATCTGTTATTATCACTTAATTTTTGTGGGGTAATTAACCGATGACAATTTGGAGAAAATTCAATGCAATAAATCATATGGGGATCATTCCATAAATAAGGGGTCCTAAGTGTTGCAATTTTTGTTGGTGTCCTTGTTACACCTGATCTGTGTTATTTGCAATTTAAGTATGAATACAATTGAATTCATACTATTGTTTTATTTGTTTGGTAGGTACTTTGCGTTACGTGATCACTCTTGGAGAAGGAAGTCATCACAGAATGTGCACTGAATTACAAAACGTTATAAATATCAGATGTAACAGTGACCCCCAAAAGGGACCCCATTTTATGGAATGATGCATGAAGATTGTACATGAACTGTATGATTAGTCGATCGACCGCCGCGCTAGACGTACACAATGGCGGATCCTTCACTGTTCACGTGATCAGGTCGCATGGAAGCAGAGCCTCAATTCAAAGTGGTCTAGCGACGTTCCTCTACGTAATGCCTGTAATCATAAAGCTCACAAAGTCCAGTTTTAATACTTGTGACGCCTGTGCACTTCACGAGACCCCCTCCCCTCAGCCTCCCTCTCGAAATTTATTAGTATGAGATGCTTAGGCTGTTCGCAGCATGCACTGGGTGTACACTTGCTCCTGGCCGCCATTCATAGTGACAAGTGGCGTCATTGCATCCGTGTGGAGCAGCGCCCTCTCCGTCAGCACTGGCCATGTGGTAGAGGTGGAAGCAGATCTTGACAACAGCGCCCCAGCACTCTTGTTGCAGAGAGCACACGCCGATAGCAAAGTTGGCTAGAAACGAAATTAGCAATGTATCAACAAATAATTGATATTAACATTATTGCTCACGTTTATTGCAGGTGACAGAGGAACCAACGGTATTGGTTTTGTGAGGTTTGTATAGGATCAAGCCTACAACCCTTCATTTTATTTGTGTATTTTAATTTCTTTAGTTAGGGGTGGACGTAGGATGTTCATTTAGGCCATATGTAACTGCTTGGCCTGCACTTTGTTCGTTACGAATAATCACACCACTCAAAACAATGTTCAAACCAAACCCGCTGAAGTTAAAGCAGAGATTAGTTATTACACTAATCGAGAACTTGAACAGGAAATGCACAACCTTTTGATCTTCGTCCAAAACACTCTATCTTCAGGAAATCACGAGGAATCAGTCAAATTGACTGATCGTTGGAACTTCATTTCTACTAAATGCCAGTTAGCCAGACGGACTAATTTCAGAGGGTATTTAGTACCCGTACGATCTTGAATCCTATTAATTTTTTTGATAATGATTCGGGACATTACTTATCGGATAATGCAAACAATCATTTTATGCATTCAAAGGGCAGATTTGATCTTTCTGGGGGGGGGGGGGGGGGAGAGACTCACGATTCAGGGCTCCCCGTGGATGGACAATATTCCCGTTGCATTTGATAAGGACATTTACACCGGCTATGTGGGGCAGATACTTCATCGGCATGGACGCCAACGCTACAAATACATAGATGATACATATATGATTTTTTTTTAATTATTTGATTTAGACTGGCTGTGGTCTTCATTTAAGACAACAATATACAGCCACGAACCATCAGTCTGAATTCAAGAGCGGATCCGGGGGCGCAATGGGGGCAATGCTCCCCCACCCCCCCCCCCCCCCCAAAAAACCCAAACAAACAAACAAACAAACAAACACCCCAACACCCCAACAACCCAACAAACAAATAAACACCCCAACACACAAACAAACAAAACAAAAAAACAAAAACAAAACCGAAAACGAAACAAAGCAAAAAAAAATGTTTTAAAGTGACGTCGCAATAAAGGCAGGCAATGAGTACACCACCATCTTTTCCTCAACAAAAATTGGTTTAAGTTTTTAAACATTGCCTCAGATCGCACCACAGAACATCTAGAATCCAACAATTTTGGGGCAATCGAGCGGGCCCAGAACCCCACGCCGTAATGTTTGGGACACCCTTTTAGGGGGCTCGTCGGGGGGAGGGGGAAGCCCCCATTGCCCCCCCCCACTGCAACGCCCATACCCACACAAAGACAATTAATAAATGCAGATAATGAAGCCACAGCGAAACTTCGAAGAGACTCTATTAAAAAAACAAAAAAAAGTTTGTTTTTTTGTAATTATTACCATGTCGATTGAAAGGAACAATTATTTAAGGAAACAAAACGGCATAATCCTAGACAATTCTAAAGAAATTTCAGGCAACAAATGGCCAATCTAAGTAATTCAGGTTTTGTTAATAATGGAAGAACTGAAATTTGCCCTGGTTCAGCCACTGTTAGTTCCACACACTAAACTCCACATACACAGTATGGGCCTAGCATAACATACAGATGTAGACTTCTTCATCGGTTTTGGGGGCGCTATTGAGTCCGGCGTATCCGGATGAATCGAAAAGTGTTTAGGCTTCCCCGAGCATAAGAGACCTCGGTTCAATATGAGTTGCGGTCAAGGTTCCTGGTGTTTCTAAACATCACGGTTGATTGAGCAGGACCAATTTTATGAAAGGGTCTATTTAGAGAATTGCGCAACTTTTTAACCCTCCGACGCAGAAAGCACATTTACTAACACGCTTACAGTAAGGGGTCCCTCCGGGGACCCAGATATTTAGCGCCTTGGTTTGAGGCTACACAACACAGTATCTATATGTATACAATCTCGACATGTCTGTAGACTATAAATAAGGAGGTCATTGACAGGAAACAGATGTTGTATACATAGTCTGTGGTCAAGTCGTGCACTTGGCTACCCGCAAGTGACTTTGTTTTGTGCACGTGTATATGGGCAGCCCAGGTTGTCAGGCTCAGATATGCCTGACCCGGGGTCACACACTAAAGGTGACTGCATATATCCGTAGTGGGTGTCTCTGGCTAGGATTAGATGGAAGATCACCAGAATTGGTTGGAATTTTTTTTTTTTTATTAAGGTAATTAACCAAATTGGGTCCCCAAAAGGGCTAGTTTCTGCGTCGGAGGGTTAATTATGGTTTTTGTGGTGTCATTTGTCACAGAGTAACATGCTATGTGTGCCAATCAAAGCAGGTGGGAAAAAACAAGAGATTCCCCATGAAAAGTGGCGCAATTCTCTAAATAGACCCTTTCATAAAATGGTCACTACTCAGTCACCCGTGAATGTAATGACAGGATATTTTAAAGAGGAGATTCAACCCTAACAGAGGATTTTTCCCTCTGATTCACATGGGACCCTACTTCTGTTCCAATTAGCAAAAATATCTCGGTTTCGTTTTTGGATCCACCCTGTGCATATATTTAACAGGGGCCGCCTGATAGTCCGAAGGTCCGATAGTCCGAAGGTTCTTCAGTCCGAAGGTTCGATAGTCCAACTATTGAACCCTACCGTACATTCGGACTATCGAACCTTATCATCTATTCGGACTATCGAACCTCATTGTCGATTCGGACTATCGAACCCTATTGCCTTTACAAACTATCGAACCTTCGGATTAATTAACCTCTCTCTATTTTCTGACTAATGGGCACTTCGGACTATCGAACCTTCGGATTATCGAAACCTTCGGACTACTGAACCTTTGGACTAACGAACCTTCGGTATAATGACTCTTTGGACTAAAGAACGTTCGGACTATCGAACTGTCGGGCTGTCGGGCTGTAACCG